TGTGGTCTGCAAAAACCTGCTAAGCACACTGCTCTCAAGAAAGCAAGCCATGAAACAGCTCTGACCATCTGCACTGCTGGATGGCACACTGATAAACTTGTCAGTGATATTGGAGAGACTAATCTGACAGTAGTTGCTTGGAGGTGGAATGGAGGCTCAGAGCCTGTAAGAGAGGCCAGTAGTCTCAGCTCATCTGCACAATTAATCTAAATAAGGTCTGAAGGATCTGCTTGAGCACTGGGTGGTTATCTCAGCTCCTGTTAGAATCCTCTTAGGGAACAGCTGAGCACCATTTGGGGGTACCATTTTACACACCAGGACTGGTCCAAACAAGTAGTACATGAGGCAACAAGATTACCAGGAAAAAAACTACTCCCAGTCAGGTAGCAGAGCCTGGCCTTCATTAGTTTATTAATACAAATCTAGCCAGGGAGAGTTGCTTCTGACTTGCACAAAGATACTGGTTGTGTAAATCCATGACTCAGGCCATGCTATTAATGAACAGATAGAAAATGCTGTGCACGTATCGCTGTTCCTGCTTTGGATGACTGTCATAAAACAGTGCTAGGCTCTGCTAATGGACTTGTGCTTTCTCCTGTTCACCTGACAGAACTGATAAGAGCAAATCACAACGCTGAGTGTATGGAGCTATCTAGAAGGCTAATGAGTGATTAAGGAGAGGTCAATGTGGACAAACGAAGGAGAACAACAGGAACTGGAAAATGTGAACCGGGGAGGGAAGCAAGGTCAAGGAATACGTTAGCAGAGAGGAAAGGTCACCAAACACAGAGCTATAAAGTTGCAGCCAGTTTTCTTCTAAGGGGTTTCTTTCAACAAAAGTTGCAGCCAGTTTTCTTCTAAGGGGTCATTAGGATGCCCAAAGGTGGATGGATATCTCATAGCACGTACCAAACAACCCAAGTCCCTTAAGCCAATGGGCACATAGCACTGGTGCAATTTAAGTTCAGAACCTCAGTGCTTCACAATATCTAATCTATTGCAAGTGGTTGGGGTTTTTGTTTGGGGTGTTTTGGTGGGGTTTGTTTAGTTGTTTGCTTGGGTTTTGCTGGTGCTTTTCTTTACTGCACACACATCTAATGCTTGCTGTAACATAAGCATATACTGCAATTATGCAAGTGATATTTTAATTTCCATTTTGGTTACTCATTATTCCCTATCTTTTCCGATTTTGGTGCTAACTTATCTGTACACAACAGATGTAACAGAGGTGCCTTCTCTTTAGGCACAGACTCACCATTTACTTTTACTGTAAATAAATTGTTTGGCTGTCTGGCATTGGAATCAGGTGTTTTCATAAACACCCAAGCTGTGATGCGTTTCCAGCACATCTATATCCCAGTAGTTGCTTTATCTTCACTTACAATGTTATGTTGGTTATTCAGGAATTACTCCCGTCACCTAGAGTTCAGAAGACAGCGTAGGAAATTGCCCCATGCCCAGGCTCCCCTTGTCCTTCCTTACACTTTGCCTTCTTTTTAAAAAAATCCAGCTCTCTCATTCAACTCTGTTCTCTTTGTACATCCCAGTCTTTTAATGCACTTGGTGCATTTATGGGAGGGAGGAGAGGGTGTGTGGATGGAATTCCTCAGCCAGAGCTTATTTGACCTGTTTCGTACCTTTGTGCTTCATTTCATCTAGGATAAGGGTCAACAGTCAACCAGTGTTAAATGTCAGAGTCCATTAGTCAATGGGTAGCTTACACAGACAAGAATCTGCTATAAAACAAATCTCTTCACAGATAATCCATGTTTCACACATGCTTTTAAAGACCACCTATGCTTTCCTAGTAGCTCAAATGGGAATACAGAAGTCCCAACAGAGGGTATACTCATATAATCAGTATGTCAGGACTAATTTCCACGTATTTGTTCCTTTATCACTGAATAAAATTCCTATTGCAAGGTATTAATATACAACTTCAAGCACACACTCATGCTGGTATATTGGGATGTAGAGTTCATCACTATATGGACTGGAAAGCAGCACTGGACAGTGGTCACAAAGTCACCCATGTAAGGATGCCCATGTTCTGGTCTGTCCTGCTGTTACTCTCCTATATAATTCAAAGCTGAACAAACTTTTCGGCATAGCTGCAAATTCTGTGAAACCGGTCTGAATTGCCTACTGTGTAACCGTAAGTCTTTAACCACCCAGGACTACACAACATCACCTTTCTTTAAGCTTACCTTCACCTACCTCCCCTTTCCAATCTGTAGTTGGTATCTAATTCTCATTCACTCACTCAGTGCATACATTACACTGTATGTAATAACTTCACTCCCTCATCACTTCCTGTAACACACATCCACTTACTGGGTTGGAATTAACAACTAGGATGCTGGAGAGGGACTCTTCATCAGGGACTGTAGCAATAGGACAAGGGGTAATGGGTTTAAACTTAAACAGGGGAAGTTCAGGTTAGATATAATGAAGAAGTTCTTTACTGTGAGGGTTGTGAGGCACTGGAACAGGTTGCCCAAAGACGTGGTGAATGCTCCATCTCTGGCGGTGTTCAAGGCCAGGCTGGACAGAGCCTTGGGTGACATGGTCTAGTGTGGGGTGTCCTTGCCCACAGCAGGAGGTTGGAAGTAGATGATCTTGAGGTCCTTTCCAACCCTAATAATTCTATGATTCTAATTTTAAGTAATTGGGTGCCTATTGTGTAAACAACCACTCAGAAATTCTTTGCTGTCTCTAATTTATTTGCTGAAGATGATTCTGAGCTGAATCAAGGGAGAAAAACTGCCATCGCTTACACTACTTTAAGCACTGCCTGTGTTGTTCAGACAGCTGGGTTCTATGAAATGTGTATGAACAAGCAGCATCTTAGCTTTCTACTTGTGATTTATTATTTCCTCACTCCTGTCCTGACCCCTCACCCTGGGCTACAGAAACTATGAGCTTCAGTGGCCTTGTTTCAATTTACAAAAAATAACTACTGATGCTTTGCTTAATTAACCATCCTCTTTCTGGGAACTGTTTGATTCTCTAGGCTGTCAAATAATAGCCCCCTAGATAAGAAGTGAAGGATAATAATATAACTATTATTACTTCAGCCTTAAGTATTGTCATTTTATTGTGAAGAGCTGCTTATCTTAACATAATTTAAGTATACTTTGGCAGAACTTCTGATGCAATAGATAACAATAAACAAAGACCTAACTATTAACCACTGGCATCAAGAAACGCATTGCAGCTTCAGCAACTGTCTTCTGAAATACAGATGTGAAAACATATTTCTGGCAAATATCTTCAAATTAGTTAATTACCAAAGTTGAGAATGTGGGCTCACTTTGGAGAGGAAAATGCAGTCAGCCTGACTGTTAACACTTAACTCTGACCCATATGTGCTCAGCCTAAACCACTGTTGCTTTAGGATTTCAACACATGGGTTGCAATCATACCACCACTGATAGACTCCCATGGAATTAATATTTCACTAGAAGCTTCAATTTTGCTACTTACATACAGCATATGTAGTAAAATACATCTTGCACATGTAGCTTACTACAAACAATATTTGCGATATGAACATCCAAATAGTCTTTTTGTGATCATCTAACTGCCGGCATCATGCTGATGCTGTGACAGTTGTCTATTTGCCTGCAAAGCCTACACTTGACTTTCTTCAAAACATCTGGGCTCAGCACCTAAACCTGCATGTTTTCATACAAATGCACAGCTGTCCTTTATCAGGTGACAAAAGTATGAAATGCTCATACATTTGTGTTAAGGAATTTTGAATCAAGTTTAGCTGCACGAGGTTTTGCAACTCAGACTCAAAAATGATGGTGAGCCATTTGGGGTAGGTATCAAAAGCACAACATATAACCTCTGAAAGCCAACAGCAGTTTAGTATGTACAACTGAAACTCCTTCGTAACCCTTCCAAATAATTGGTTATACATGAAAAGCACACATCTGAATTTCCACTTTTCTGGAAGTGAAACATACCTTGATGTGTGTATGTGTATATGCATATATTAATCTCTTGTGCTGTTTGAAGGCTTTTTCCTTTTAACCCATTCCTTTCTTCTTGAGAATCTGCAACAGCAAGATGCTATCTCATCTGAGAGGTGCTTCAAAAAAATCCTCCACATACAAGCTGAATTAGAAAAATATTTTTATTTACAAGAGTAAATAATGTAGTGCAAGAAGAGTGGATTTAACCCTCAATAATGCATAGATTGGTGCAATTTATAACCTGTGATCTACATCATGTTGCAGAGGTGCAGGCATACCTGCTTTAAAGGTCAGGCCTTTCATACAGCCACTTAATAGACAATTTTGAATGAGACAGAAGGCATTTGCACTCTGTACTTGTTACCTATATATCCCATCTAAACTTTACCAAATAAACTGTCACTTAAGTAGGTGTTTTTAAGAGTTACTGCAGAACATGAAATAAACCCTTGCCAATGTTATTGATGGAAGAATTCAAAAGTAAATTGTTTACTCTCTTTGTGAGGTGTCACCTGTTCACACTTAAATATTCTTCTATTTATTCATTAGGGAAGTTACTTTGTCTGATCAGTGGCTCTTGGCAGGGCCAGAAAGTGTTCTGTTGACCAGGGAACTGCTGAAACTCATGAAACTTTGCCTAAGATTCAGCCAGAAAAACTCCTGTGTTATGATCATATTGCAGATCTTCCCATTGAAGAGTTGAGATGGAATATAAAATGCCAAAATCCGAATTGTTATCACTGCATGTACCGAAGCCTTGGCTGGTGTGCCACAGCACTCTGACAGTGTTGGTGGCCAGGTTTCACTTTTATGTGATTTTCATGCTTGCAACTTAGAAAAAATCTTCAACTTCACTAGTATAATACACTTAAAAAAGCCAATTTCATAAGACATTAGATATGCGAGTAAAAATTCTTCACCATCAAAACTGGTGGGAGGTTTGCTCATTCTTCAATTAGGCAAAGACTTTGCAAGCTTTCTTCAAGTCCTCCAATGAAATACAGTATGATCATGTACTAGGGACGGATCATGTAATACGGACAGAAATAATTATGTTATCTGTTTGGAGTGTTAAATTACAGGGATGATTTTCCTCTATAGTGGAGAAATCATATCAGTGAATTTCCCCACAATTTTAACTGTTGAACTGCATTATTAATGCCACTAATAGGGTTGGTTGCCAGTTTTTAGATCTGTAGTTGTTCATATCCCATCTTCCCAATGGGACACCAACCTTAAGAAAACTACACTTCAGCTCGTAACAAGAGGATTCTGAGGGTTTGACTCCTGCTGTGCTAAATCATTTGAAAATGTAGATTCATCTTGCTGTATGAGTCTGGTAGCATCCTCATTGCTACTCCCTGAGGAAGAAATTTCATCTGATGATGGGTCTGCTCTTGCTCCAGGAGAATTACGGGCTTTGGAAAAACATCAAAAGAAATTATTAAAAAAGACTCCACTGCATCTAGGAAGTGTATTTATAAATATTTAAATGTGTATATAAAATTCACATATAAGGATAATATGCAATGGTTAGGAAATACTGAAGGAAAAATAACTGTAACTTTAACTGTATACTTTGTATATATGTAGTATGATTCCCAACTTCTACGAACTATAGCTGGTAAGAAATAAAGCAGGGTTTCATAATTAGTCAAGGTATTATTCACAGCTACATATCTTATGTGCTACACAGGAATTACAGAATTCAAATAAACTTTTTACATTTAATGTTTTTTTTTTTTGTTTTGGGGGTTATTTTAAATGCACAGGTGTAGGGTCTCAATGTGGAAAGTAACTTTTTCTGTATTTTATTACAAAAAGTAATAGTAGTATTTTCTGAATAACCTTAAACTGCCTACCGGACCTAAGAAAATGCATTTAGTGGAAGAAATTATTTCCATAACTGGAAATACTCTTTTCACAACATCCCCATCAAGATCCTGTCTTGCAATCCGAAGTGAAACACTTGGTTGAAGCTGGTAGTGCTTTTTAAATGATGACTCGTTATTTTTGTATGGGATGGTAGAGGTTTTTTCCCCTTTCCTGAGCAACATAGTTTTCTTTCTGATATCTCCTTCAATATGGTAAAAAAAAATAATTGGAGTTTTAATAGACTGAAGCCTGGTGTTTGGCTTTTTGTCCCTTAATATTCTTTGTCCCATCAGAAAAAAAACAGCATAGAAAACTTTCTATTTTAGGACAGGAGGTGTCTGCAAGAGCTGACTGACTGTATTTACTGATTCTGTTACTGATCTGAAGAGGCTGAACTGCCTGCTCCTAAGTTACTCCAATTTATCAGCTCTCTGTACCTCACTTTTTCCTCCCACTTTGTATCTGAATGGATAGAGTTTATATGAAATAGGGAACACAGTCTCGTTGCATATTGCAGAGACACAGTCTCGTTGCATATTGCAGAGACCGTACATGAAATCAGTCATGTAATTACGCTAATGATACCGCATGCTGGGACATGGGAAATAATATCTTATTTACAGTCACAATCTCTTGCAGTTAATGCTTTTATTAAGCCTCCTTTACCAAGGGATATTCTCCAGAAAGCAACAGCTTTAAACATGTCTCACCTCATCCACCCCTTTTCAATAATCAAAAGATGATTTGTGTGTCAAAAGTTGCTGTTCAGAGGTACCTCTACCAAATCTAGAACACCTCCCTTTATTTTAAAGATTTTACTGAAATACAAAGATAACTCCTCTTTCTTAAGTTTTACTATGACATAAACTTCAAATACTTACCAGATAAAGACTGAAAATACTGCACTGCAAATGCAACCAGAATTGATAAAAGAAAGGTTCCCATGAAGTAGATCTGTGACAGTAAGATTAAAAACATAATTACAGCAGTGCAAAACCAAGGTACTGCTCCAGCTGAACTCTGCATGTACCAAAGGAGCAATACATACCAGAGTAGATTGTAAAATATTGTTCCAGAAAACTCTCATGTAAAAATAAAGCAATGCTAATGAGCATGGACTAATTGATTCTGGGTTGCTGTTATTCCAGCACCTACGAGAAGAAGATTGAAACAACTAATTAGTCTTTACAATGGCGCTAGTCATCTGGGAATCCTCAGTGGGTTTGCAGCAAACCCCAGTAACCCAGGAAAACAAGCAGATATTATCATCACTATCTCCCAGATGGTGAAGTAAAAATTCATAGATACACCAGATGAACCTCATTGAGCACAGAATACCTTATCCTAGGAGTGTATTTTTTATTTTCTTGTTAGTCTACAATGGGTCTAAGCATCCAGGCTACCCTTGTAAGCTGCCATAGTACAAAACTGTACCAAAGACATTTGCTTCTAACTAGTATGAGTCAACAGCAGTAAGACTTAATTTAGGATTAGATATACAAAATTTAGTTGCTTATGCGGGATCATGGTGTCTAAATCCCCTTTAGAGACAATGGAGTGCTACACAATGCAGTCAGAGTTCAAAGAGCACTTTAGCTGACCAGCTACAAGGAGTCTGTTCTGGGGTGAGCTGAGTGAGCAGCTTTCTCAGTTCTATCAGTTATGACTTTGCCTGCTAAGGGTGTTCAGACAGCTAAATCACAGGCACCTATTTTAAGCTACAATCAAATCTTTCCAACCAAGCTGAGGAGGGAGAGGTGAGGTGTGCATATAGACACATAATTTTTTTCATATAAAAATTGTATATAAAATACATATCAAATTTATACATTTTAATGTAAAATTCTGTGAAACATATTTTTATATATATATATTTTTTTTTAAAGTATGTGCCCTTCTGGACAGAAGCGACTGAGGATGGGAAAAGCTCGCAGCACTGTCCACTCTGGAATTACTCTCACTGCAAAGTGGTTGGATTCAGCCCAAGTAAAGGCAGAACTGAGGCTCAAGCATACAATCCCCGATGGGCCAGCTGGTTCAGAAGTTCTAATTATCAGACTAGTAATTTTATGTGGAGTGGAGGTCATTTGGGTACAAGTTCAGGCTAACTGCAGTGAAGAACAATTTCAGTGGGTTGGTGGGGAATCAACAAATGACATTTTGATGCTGATATCCTCTCCACTTTTTTTCTGATCACACAATACTCTGTAGCAAAACAGAAGATAACCACTTATGTTCGGTTCACAGCCTCACCTTCGGCTCTCCTTCTTTAAATATCTGAGAGGCAGTTCCACACATCTACCAAGTATTGTGTAAGTGTCCCATTCCCACTTTTTTTTCCAACACATGCTGCTCTACCCACGTAAATGAAACCTAAGTTGAGTTCTGTACTGGAACCAGAGGTCTCTAGGTGATTTGTGCATGAACAGTGCTGGCATGTGCAGTTCAGGCAGCAGAATGGGAACTTTCTTCCCTATCTAATATTCTGTGCCACATCATCTGTGCAGGCTGGAATGTCTTTACAGAATAAATATGAAGGACTGCTGTTATCCCAGTTATGTATTTGTAAGATCTGTATTAAATTATGCTCTATTTAGCATTACAAGATTGTTTTGGACTATATACAAATTGTCAGTGCTTAACTAAGGGACTTAAATATATATGTAATATTATATATTAAATACATTGGAAAAGACCGTCTGGATTATTAAATCCAGTCTCTGCTATTTCAGGTAATCACATATAATCCGGTCTCTTAACAGGCATAAACTGAAATATTTCAGTAATTTAAACATTTCAAGCATGTTGACCTTAACCTGCCTTAAATCATACAAGTGAACAAGGTTAATAATTACAGGAGTTGCTGTTCTCCATAGTAAATGCTACTCACATGGAAAACCAGAAGATGCTGATTAAAGGGAAAAAAGACTCACCTGTAATAAAGTTCCTGAAGAAGTGACATACTACTAGAATGCAATGCCTGATCGATTTCCAAGTGATCCAGAATGTAAGAAGGTATGGAGTTGCCCTCTTCTATGACCAGGGCCAAATTAAAGAAACCCTAACAATAAAAAAAATCATACACACTTCTTAACCATTAAATTTTCATATAGATATATTTAAGGCCTACTGTAAGCATCAAGTATCTAAATAATTATAACTGTCTTCTATAAACTCATTTAGTCTAATGTGATCTTCACTGCGTAATTATGAAAGCTTTCTCTCCTAACCATAACTCAGGTAAATACTGAAAATGCAAAATAATTACCATTTCATTTGTTGTGACACTGTTTTCTTACAAGTCATCTGGAAAAAGATCTGAGCTTTCTTATTTTAATTATTCTTTAAATGCAGCCACCATATCAAACTCTAATTTTTTTATCTACTAGGGAAATACAGACTGAAAGTAGAAATGGATTCCTGTTTCATTCCTGTCCATCTAGCTCTATAGATCAACGCAATCTGAATAATGAAATTGAGAGCGGAAATTTTCTCCAGACAATCTAAATCCTTAATCTCACAGTTTTGCTTGCTTGGATAAGTCTTAGGCACCTCTATGTCTTTTAGAACCATGAAGGTGAGCACATGAGAAAAGAGTACAAAATTCTCCATCACTTTAGTTTTCATACTTTAAAAGTTCAGGCACCTCTTCTTTCCTTTGCTAGTTTAACAGTAATATTTTGTGCCAGTATCCTCAAAACAGAACCCAACTATGCTACCTCTAATAAATTAACATACACGATACTGTCTGAGGACATCTTCATAGGACAGTAAGAACAGAATATTGCACCCAGGACAATTCCGGAAGATCTGAAGGCAGGGAATTCAGAGTTGAAACGCTGCATGTGTTTGGCAACATGCTATCGGTGTATCTTTGAATTATAAAGCATTTTAAGATTAAGCTTTTGTTGGTGGAGCAAACAAAATTCACCCTAGGATTCACGCAGTACACCAAGGGAAAGAGGCCAGTCTTCTTGTTTGCATCCTAAAATAGCAGAGGATAGGACCGGAACATAACTCAGCCGTCTATTAATTGTTCCTCTTTGCAGCAGCAAAAATATCAAGGTCACAACAGAATCAATCGTGCCAAGGTAAGATAGCACTCAATTGAGCCATTAACTTCTAGCTTTCAAACCAGCCAAATTCTGTGGCTGTCCATCTATGGTAGGTTTACTTTCTGTTATCATGAAACAGCAATTACTGACTCACACAGTATTCTGAAATAGTAACAACTTATTCTAGCAGGCTTCTTCAGTGCAGATGTAGCCAAGCACAATAAGCAGTCTCAGATAAATCCTCTATTGTTCTAAGCTCTGATGTATTGTAAGCACATTATGACTGCAGACCCACCTGTGAATCTCCCTCTAGTGCAGCTTGTGCATACATCCGCATTGAGAGCTCGAGATCTTTAGACTGGTTCTGGTAACCGTAGTAGTAGAAATCACCCATCTTCAAATAAGCTGTTGCAGAAACCAGTAGCAGATCATTGAGAGTAGTTGTGGAAATAGGATTAACCAGCTATCAATGTGATGGATAAGGTAACAGTAATTCTAGTCTTTCTGTCTAGTTGTTTCTGCAGCTACTTCACATCAGCCTGCCCACTGAAAATATTTATACCTGGATGAAACTTCTCACGATTTCTCTTTAATGAATTAATGATACTGCTATTTTCACAAAAACTGAGACTTAGAGACTTTATACTACATTTCTTCTTCACTTGCTGAATCTGTCTTTGGGCAACCTGTAGCCTTATTATTCAGGTTAGCCCTACTAACTTGATGAGACTTTAAAACATGCTGTCTTGCGTGTTTGTTCTGTACCTGTCACTATGGTGGCTGAACCCATCCCCAAAGTTATGGAACTTTGCTAATGATAATTTTGTTAGTTTCAAACCCAACCTGACTCAGGACAACAGTAGGTACAGAATTATCCTGGTCTAGAAGGAAGCAGTGCCCAGCAAATATTTTACAAATATCTTTCTGTGATATTGTATGGTAATTAATGCTCCAACAGGGTGGGCACTAAGCCAGACAAGAGAAAGCGTGACATTGCACTAATCTAGGCTGAAGGGTTTAAAATGATCCCCCCATGATCATGAGGATGCTTACCTGACCTAAGCATTCCCCAAATGGTTTGAAACATTTTTATACCTTGCCTTGTGTATTTAGAAATCCCACTTGTTTTTATAGTGGTCTACAGCAAAGCTCTTCCAGGAAGCAAGTTGGTTACTGACCCAACAGCAGAGGCAGAATGGAAGGCCACAAACACTGTAGTGAATCATCAAGGAGAGAGCTCCCCTCCACCATACCAACAACTGCATCATTTCAGCCCTGGCCTGGAGAGCTGCACTGATAAAGTAGGCCTGGAAATGAATTCTGCCAGGGTTAGACTCTCTATCCCAGGCCCTGAAGTGGGGATTTGATCCTCTGCTACCACAGAGAGGAGTCACAGATAAAATTCCCCTTATGTTACTCATGTGAGGAAGAGATAAAGTAATAAAATTCTGTCCTTGTTGAACCCAGCAAGTGTTCGAATCAGTCTTACCCCATGAGTCTGAACTTCAGAAGCTCCTCTACTACTGTACCACTGGATTTGCCAAAGGGTCAGCCAAAGTGCACCTTGCCAAGGCATCTACAAACTCCTCACAAAAGTTAATAGGGTTTGCCAGCTCCTGTGGTTTCAGGCTGTATCAATGTGATATTCAGTCTCTACAGTGCTGTGTACTTAAATTAGCAGCCTGAATTATTTTTACACCCTACTTTTCATGTGCTTTTTTACAAAACACTTAAACCTTCTTTTTTTTTTTTTTAAACCAGAGAATCCTTCAGTTCCCCCAAACAAGCTGTGCCAATGCTGATAAACTCTGTACCTTAACAGAAAAACTCATAATAAATTAGGTAAGGGGTACTTTAGCCTTCATTAGTTTCTCATGACTCAATTATGATATGGAAGTATATTTGCTTTTGGATTTTGCCTTTGATAAACTAAACAGCATGAGCTTGTAAAGTCTACCTTTTTTTTTTCTTAAACCTTGAGTCAATTGCTCATGCTCCTCAATATCCAGCCCATTCTCAGGGCTTGGCTTTTTATTATGTCATTTTATTCACATTTTATCAATTTTATGCCATACAAAGGAAACTCTCAGAAAACCTGTGTGGAAACCCAACACTTGGAATACTTTTTTTCCCCTGATACTCCTATCAAAACACTAAAAAGGAAATGTATGATAAGTAGAGATTACTCTTCCCTTAACTTGCTCATTACCACAGAAATGCTAATAAGCAAACAAACAAAAAAAAGGTAAAATTAAAATTCAGAAGGAATTCCTTATACATACCAAATGATGGTGCATTGACTTGAGAAACAGAGAAATTGTAGTATCTCCAAACACAATCACTTGCTAGGTATTTCCTTGCTAGGTCCTGGAAAGAAAGTAATCGATCCATTCATATCACAGATAAGAGATTAGAATCACATTATCATTGAGAAGTGTTCCTTTTAGTTGTGAAGACATTTACTTACTGGTCTTTCTTCACAGATGTGTGCTAAATTGGACTGTGACACTTCAATCCCAGTTTCAGCTGCTAAAATATAATACAGCAAAGCTTCATGCCTAACGTTAGATAAAATAAATTAGTGAAAAACTTAAAAAAAATACTTTTAGTTAAATAACCCCCACTAAATAAATTGATAAAAATCACCTAAGAGCAAAATTTTGGTACAAGGTTTCAAAACCAGCATGACAAGCTCATGCAACAGCTACACCTACTGGCAATACTTGGTGTAACAAACCTTTCTGGATCTCAGGGATTTGCAGTTTCTCTCTTGCATTGACGCTAGATTGGCTCCAGTGGGCATTTACTCTTAAGTGCAAGGTTGATGATAAAGTTGAATTGATATTAAAGGCCAATTACCTATTTAAATATTTAATATAAAATATTCTTAAAAGACTCTTACCTCCTCCACTAAAAAAATATACATAATTAACTTAGACGCATATATATGTCAATCACGCATCCAACTACTTTGATATTCTTTTCCCTTTTCTTTCTATGACTGTAAAACAAGTAATAAAACCTAATTTTGCATTTGCAGTATAGCAGTTCATTATTGCAGTACAGTGGTACACCACTGTTCATGTGTGCTCTAGAGGAGAGCGTCTCTTTAACATTCTGTCCTGTGTCTACCCAGTATTACGAAGACTAAACATCCAAAATTAAGAGGAAGTCTTTAAGATCACAAGATGAAAAAAAACCCCACTTGGTGAACTTTTTTCCTACTAAAACTTCCTATTGAAGGGTCATGCTTTGAGTGATTCTCTCCACAAACTGGAAGCAAATACAGTTAAATATACATTCGACTTCACGAGTAGGTGCTTAAGCAAAGATGAAATTGCAAAAGCAGTTACCCTTACAGAACTACAGGCAGCTGGGCAGTCAGTTCTTCTGATCCCTAAGTCTCAAAGGGCAATTCAGAAGAATTTCTACATTTAAGGCCTTTAAATCAGCCACTGAGAATCAAACCACCATGACTAACAGGTGTGTAGAACACATGGCTGCTGACACCAACAACCCAGGAATACATTGTTTGGTCTGCTTGGCAGTGTAACAATTTACATGTATGCAAGATATATGAAGAAATAGTAATATATTCATATATATATGTATGAATATTCATATATGGAAGGACCAAAGTTTTCAACATGAACATACTCCTATGACTAGAGATGACTAGGACCAGTATCTGTAAGTAAGTATCTGTACACTCCTTATCACTGTCATCTTAAGTGAAACTCCAGCAGATTTTTCCTCCTAACTGCAGGGACCAGATGTTCTGGGATCTTAATGCCCTGTCACATGCACAGAACTTTAATGGGACTGTATGTGGTACATCAGAATATGCTACAAAAATATTAGAAGAGAGCTGTTGACTGTTAAAAACTGACGTCAAGTCTCAGTTACTCCAGAACAATCCACTGACAGTACCTGTAGACCTCCTAAGCTTGAAGCACTAATTAAGTACTAGCAGGGGAAGGCTGCAGGACTAAACAAGCTGTTGTCTTAATCACGTATGACAGTCTGATGCCTGCATATACAGTATGTGATACTCATGCCTACAGGTCACTGCAAAAATGGTGCATTAATCTGGAAGCTACTTTGAAACCTCTTTGTTGGCTCACTGGATATTGCAGCCTCCTACTATACTTTATAGAGAAGATAATATTAACCATGTACAAAAAACCAACAAACACAATCCAGAAGCCTGAGTATTCATGACATGGTATTAGACAGAAGAGAGAAAGAAAAATGTGTTTTTTTGAACAGAAGGAATGTTAAAAGTGAAAGGTGCTCCCCTGGCTAATCCAGTGCACACTACAAGCTACAGTACTATAGATGAAAACCACAGGCAGCAGATACACTATTTCCCTCTACAAACTCCCTCTTTTTCACTTGATTCTGAAAGAACTGTTGAATTATGCTTTGGGTCACTCCTCCTTCCTTTTATGTTAATGAGTGTTTTGCTGCTGATTTCAGAGGTGCTGCTATTTGTGCTTTTCTTTGAGGTAATGGCCCAATGTCAATTATTTTATCATGCTATAAAGTGAAAATAGAAAATGAACTTGAAGAGAACAGCAAACATACCATGAAAGTTCCAGATAAGCGTTGAGAGCTTTTCTGATGACATGACCTAAGTAGCCATTCTTCTCTGCAATGTGTTTTGCCCAGCTATAGAAAAGAATAAACAACAAAAAATGAACAGCTGTGCTCCAGTAATGTTATTCCAACTCACACTGAGTCAATGAACACAAAAGGACATAGGATCATCTTCTGACTTCTTCCATAAGAAAAACTATGGGATTTCACAATAATTGCTCCATCAATCTTGCAACTGCTGACTGAATTGAGAACCTTTTGTTCATTTATCTCCATGAGGATACCAGAGACATCCTATGGGTTTTTTTCCTTGGCAATATTATTATTATTTTTTAAGAAAACAAACCTAAGTCAGTAAGTGCTATAATTAATTACCTGCCTTTTTCTTGATGCAAAATGCCAGTTCTACCACACCATTAGCTTGGTATTTATTGAAAATCAAATAAGCATGGCTTTGTTAGATGAGTTGTTCTGGTAGAAAATAGTACTGGAAGTACTCAGCATTTCTCAAAATCTGCCGGTGATTTAAGTAATACACATACTCATGTGGATCAAACTTTACTGCTGAAGAGCCTTTTGTCGAGGGAGTAAGCATCATAGAGTATAAAATACTTAGACTATGGACTTAAAAATCATCAATAACCAAAATAATCCCACCAGAAATATATTCTCATTTAACAAATGGCTTCATTCCTTACATTACAGCTTTTTCTGGATCTCTAGGAAAGTCCTCCATATTTCCTGTGATGTAATACAGAGAGCATCGTAAAGTCCCTTCTATATGTCCTCCTTGGGCAGCTTTATAGAAATAGTGTGCAGCAACTGTCTGTGAAGAAACAAGACACAATTAGCAACTCTGCATTATTAATGTTTATTTAGTTTCCTGGGACTCATTTAATGAAATTAATTACAAGAGGCAATTGGCTAATGAGGGCAAACCAGTTTAACTACTTTTAACATACTTAGATGAAATAAACCCCCTTTTTGTAGCTTTTTAACAGCTGAGGCTCAAGAATGTTTTTTAAAATCGTAAATTCTGGTAATATATGGAATATCAGATAGAAAAGTGTCTAAATGTGTTAACTAACACCTGGCAGCATACAAGTCTTGTGTGCACTGACAAAAGTAAAATTAGCTATTCACTAGTGGGAAGGTTAATAAGGAATCCTGGAGAACAGGACCTCATGCCTAAGTGAAGGCTGGGGGGCAGCAGCAACGCTCAGTATGACCAGCAGTGCACACAGTGCTCAAGCCTCTGAAACTGGTTCACAGAAGATAACACAAGCTGAGTAGGCAGGGCCAGAGCTGCAGATGGGTGGGCTATGTGACTCTCCATGTTTTACCCTCACAAACAGTAATCTGTAATATAAACCAAAGCAGCATACAGCCTTAAATAATTTATTTCAGGAAACTTTTAACAATCGATATATGGGGTTTTTGTGAGTAAGCATGGACTTCAGAGTATCCATCACAGCCACAACAATGTACTTCTCCTTGCTTATGGCTTTGGTGAATAAAGAAACCAGGGCACTTTTAGGTGTATGTTTGCAATCAGCGAACTCTGAAATGGGTATTTTTGTCCTTGGGGAAGGAAAATGTGTTTGCCAAATGCACACACTGGCAAGCACTGCTGCTGTTGGCAGGCAGCAGAAATGCTCAGTGTGGAGTATATCCAGATCTTAGAACTCACGGGCCATACTGGAAACATCTTTTAGTTCCAAGTACAAGGTCTACTTGCATCTATTACAGCCTTCATTATGTTTGTTGCTGTTGGTTGTAAACTACTTAGTTGAAAGAAACACAACCTAAGTAGACCCTTCTTATTAGAGGAAAATTAATTTTGCACATGTGAATGAGAAAATTTAATAAATGGGCTGCGCCACAGAATGACAAATCAAAATACTGCAGTCTCCCAGGACAGTATTAAATAGTTACATCTGCAAGTCTGGTTTGAAGGACTTCCACTGCAGTTCTGAGGTTCACAGAAGCAATACAAATGTAGCATAGCTGTTCACAAGTTCAGGAGCAAAGTTCTGCTGCTTTCATCTGTTGTGGAAAGCAACTTCAGCCTATACACTTTCCAATCTAAAACCGAGAGAACATGAAAACATCACACAATGTGAGAGCACGCACTATCCTTGTGCTGTCACTGGAAGGAGGAAAGCAGAGGCAGTCCCCAGAGTTAAACCTGTACCTGCTTTGTTTCTAAATGAAGGAACAAACACACCCCTAAGTACGACCAAGATATTTGTGTAACATCGCTAAGCAGTCTGAATTCCCCAGTAACAACCTAGTTTGTGATAAAAGGTATCAAGAGCAAACACAGCAGTCTCAAGAACAAAGCAAAGAATTCTAAACTGGGTCCTAACATGGTAATGGTACTCTTAGATATTTACTTACTTGATTTCTACCAGGTACTCCAGGGTAAATTCCATCTAAATAAAGGACTCCAAGGTTGTATGATGCATCTGGATTTCCCAGTTCTTCAGCAACTAACCAGTGTTCAGCTGCTTTTCTGTAGTCTCTTTTAAAATTGTGGTAATACCATCCCAATCCATTCACTGCCTGGGGCAAGCCCTTAGGGAAGGAGAAGAGCGGTCTCAGGTCACACATTTGATTCTACTTCAGGTCATTTTGCAATTCCAACTTGCTGCTCAACTTTGGGTGCTCTTGTGACCTTGCCTAGATTCTAGATACCTGGATGCACGAGGATCCAGCCAAAATTATGCTTATCTGGGATTAAGAGATACAAAGGTTCACTGGCTTTTTTTTCACTTTATCCTTCCTTGTGGCCTCATACTAAGAGCAAGGAATACGACTCCAGTGCTCCAGTGCTGTCTCAGAGTCTCAGCTGTGTCTGCAGCCAGATTTGAACTTGTTGACAAGAAAAAATCATGAGCTTTTAATCTGTTTTCCCTATAAAACCAAACCAGGACATCTGTTCTTGTGAACTCCTAGAACCTGGCTGACAGGATTAGCAATCAAAAACCCCTGCTTTTAAACTAGACCATTTCCATGAGAATGACTAGGACACAATGAACACAGAACTCTGTGATGCTGTTTTCAAAATGTATTTGAACAACACCATCCAGGTCTGCTTAAGAGAGTCCTACATGGTATTACTAAGTTGCATCTTTGCATCAGTAACTATGGATCAAGACCAGAAAGTCTCCCTGGGACAGATTTTATTTTGGTTGCAATGAGTCACCGTCTCCTTGTGTAAACTGGTGGGTCATATGGTGGCTGTAAGTCTGCCAGCAGTTCAAATTACTCTCTACCAATAAACACAAACATGCTATTTACTTCTATTTTATAAGGTATGCTTAATAACAACTAAGAACCAGAACAGTGACATAAGGTAAAAACTACATAAAAAATCTCAGTGCACAAATGTGAGTTACTTGCTTGCTACTGCTGGCTTCTACACGAGTCTCCTTATGTAATCGCTGTAGAAAGAATTGCATACTACTGGCACTTACATAGGCCTTGTGGAAAATTACTCCTTTCAGGTTTAAACCGTGTTACTAACTTACCCATTAGAAAATGCAAAAGTAGTTAAACCTTTCAATTATTATGTTACTTTTGTATAGAAAATTTGCACCAGAGCATAAAAACTGGGTTCAAGGAGAGTAATCAAATTGTTGTCTCTAGGATACTTCCTAGAATCTGTTCCTCAGATCCCGAGACAAGGGTATTTTGATCACACTGTGAAAGCCAATCAATTTACTCAAGCTTTTTCCAAATGGGCAGTAGAACAGGTAGTCTCTCCTGTTTCAAAGGAATGATCGAACAGGCATAATTCTTTTCTGATGGTGGTCAGCAATGAAGCCCTATTGTCATTATCAGTAATTTCACTAGTCCTGCTTCTAAGAGCTAGGAAGGTATTCAAGGTCTAGGTGCTCTTTTATTTTTATACTAAGGACCAGATCATGGCTTGGTTAATCAGACTGTACTACATTATTAAACAGATTGAGGCTGCTCTCCTCTGTGGTGCCCCTGCTACGGAAAAAACAGAACGCTTTGAGACATCCAGGTCCTCTCCCTGAAGTAGTGAAGAGCTGGTCAGGGAAAGCACATACAATCTTTTTCCAGTCACTAGCATTCCCTGGAGGGGTTCTAACTCTAAGCAGAGAGAACTGGCCATATAGCCATAAACCACCACAGCTCCAGGAGGGTCGGACAGGAAGCCACCATTCCTCTGCATTCAGCTCCTGTGCTGAAGGAGTGCATAATCACCTAGTGCAGACTGTGGAAGCACAATCCAGAACTCAGTCTTCACTCCTTTTCATCCACTTTAAAACATAAAGACACTGTAATTACAGCAAAGCCTGCTGGCATGGTTATTCAAAGACAGCAGTTCTCTCTACCTGGCTGTGGAGAGATCACCATGTCAAAATTTTAAGTCCTGGTAGGCACCCTTGTGAAAAACATACCCAGTATGGTCTGGAAAAAAATGCTTAGGAACAGGAGGCAAACCATACTCCTGGATCAACTATTCAAGGCCCGCCTGGACAAGTTCCTGTGTGATGTACTCTAGGTTACCCTGCTCTTGGACCAGATGATCTCTTGAGGTCCCTTCCAACCCTTGGGATTCTGTGATTCTGTGGATTCTGTGATTCCGTAAGTCATTTAACTATCATCAAATTCCAAAGATGTAAGTAGAGAGAAATTTTTTCTTCCATGGATATTTTGGCTGATTTTGAGTGGTCTAGTCTGCCAGTTTGGGGAAATAAACTTTCACCATTCATGCTGAAGACACTGGGAGAAACAACCAGTATTTACACACAGTTATGGCAACAGCGATTTTATACAAATCAGAGTTCATTATTATTAGTATCTGGTATAGGACTTTTACAATAAAATATTTATTACATTTTACCTTGGCTGCTGCCTTCTTCATTAATTCCAAAGCAAGTTTTGTATTTTTTTTCACACCTTGGCCCTACGAAATGGATATGTGAAACAATTTATAAATACAGAAAATTTACATTTATAAATACAGAAATTTATGAATACAGAATACCAGCTAGTGAAAATTCACATATACACATTGAAACTGCATTTTTAAATTGATACTGTTATTTACTATGTGTTATTCAGAATCTCAGTGATTCAGTCCAGGAAAAAATATTTCACCAGTTGATCCACTTGATTTTTATGGGTAAATAACATCACAGATCTTTCACTTTCAGCAACTAAGGAAGAATAATTAGCATTCAAAGGTACATAGATTGTTCACAATTTGGCAATGAATAAGAGCTCTTATCTTTCCTGAAAAAGGATGACAGAGTGTCTCCAGAGGAAATACATAGATACATAGGATACCCATAAAAATTAATTCCGGACACGGAATTAATATCTATGAGAGCTCAAAATTAACACAAGCAAAACTTAAGCAAGCATTTGGTAGAGAACAGCCCTCTACAGCCAAAAGATTGAGATGAAGACCTAACGGCTCTTCAGTAATATCTCTAACTTCCAGTACTGTTGAATGTGCTTTGGGTGATACTGCTTAGCTGATTCAACTTACCTCACTCAGGTAGAGTTATGCCTGAGTTTAGCCACTGCTGTCTACTGCTTCTAGCAGGGTACAAGTAACTGCATGCACAGACTATTTAATTCCTACCCAAAAATCCCACAAACCCAAAACAACCAAAAAGTCACAGAGGTCTAATAAAGGCCATTCTGAGCAAGGATCAAACTTTCACCAACATCTCTACCCCAAGGTCTATGCCCACTAGCAGGTTAGAATTTTTAGGTGACAAGCCATTAGGAAAACTTAGGATCCACAATTTAGGTGGTATTTTGATCCTGCATCTGGGTACGAACAAAGTGACTAAACTGCTTCAAACTTGCCATTTTTAAAAACGTTGTGCATATAGGATAAAAATCAATATTAGTTTCATAACCACTGATTTTCAGAGCAAATCTAAAAGCATCTGTACACACTCTCACAATGAATCACTGCAGATAACTTACAAACACCCACCTCATAGGAATAATTTTTTTAAAGTGAGACTATGAAACATGACTTACCTTAAATAACACAATGGCATAATCATATATTAACACTGGATCTTCTGTTTCTATTGCACCCTTTGCATACCATTCTATTGCAGCTTCAGGATTCTTTGCCACTCCTTGTTGGCCCCAAAAAAGCATCTGAGCCAATCGTTGCTAGAAGAAAACAACATAAACTCTTATGTTATAAATGCTAGTATAGAATTGTAGAATCAGACTTGTAAAATCCATTTAAGCCTGCAAAATGTGTGAAGAAACTAGGTATACATCCTCAGCAGTTTGAAAACAGTTGGTTATCAGGAGTATTTATAGGGCTTCCCAGTGGTGAAATGTACCTATATTAAATCTACATCAAGGTTATTTTTTACAGCTGTCAGTACCATGGAAGTCTGGCTTGATTTAAGCAGAGAGGTAAGTGACAGAGGCAGACTTGATGTATGCAATGCCTCAGTATTACAACATATTGCTGCTGGTCTCAGCAATAACTGCACCATGTCAAAGACAAAGACAGGAAAAATGATCAGAGAAGGAGGTTGCTAAGTCTTGAACAACAATTCCCTTTTGCCTTGCATCATCGGTGGTGAGGCACTTGAACAGACTGCCAAAAGAAGTGGTAAATGCTCCATCCCTGGCAGTGTTCAAGGGCAGGCTGAACAGAGCCCTGGGTGACACGGTTTAGGGTGAGGTGTCTCTGCCCATGGCAGCGGAGCTGGAACTGGATGATCTTAAGGTCCTTTCCAACCCGAACTATTCTTTGATTGTTACAGCTTTTTGCATGATCACTGGATATTATCAGAGAGAAACATGGGAAACAGTTTAAGCTCATAAAAAGAAGCTATTTGGGGTGGAAGGACAAAACACCTGTCTGCTCTCCTCCACAACTTTCTTACATAGTCTATATACTTACATGACGTGTGTATAAAACAAAGAAAGAGAAATCTATTACTTCATACCTGTGCAGCTGCGTTTCCTCTTGTTGCTTCATATTTTAACCACATAAAGACATCACCATTTTCTTTTGTTTGAGCTTTTAGCAGTTCATCATCCACCAGCCTTATCGTTTCAACAAATGCCTGAAGAGCAGGTGAACAGGAAAAAACTGATTACACAATGAATTCATATATGTGCCACTAAAAAAGGTTACCTATTTCCTGTTTATCCCTGAAAATTTGAGATCAATTCTGGGTTTTAAAATTCTCACCACCCCTCTACTGGCCAGTGCATTAAGACCTATCCTTTCATCCAGTGTAAAACCATTTAGTGCTTCGTTACAGCACCAAACTTGCAAGTCCACTCTACAGTGGAAAGATATGCCAAGGCATCAACAACTGAGCCCCCTTTCCCTACACCTTTGTAGTTTTAAATGCACTTAATAATGGCAAAGAAATGCTTTTAAGCCTTTTAAGACTTTACTTTCTATAGAAATCTCTCTTTAAAGATAAAAAAGGAAGCTGGCAGAAAGCTTGATGAAGACCTGCCCTACAGCACTCTTACCTAGGTGCTGTCTGATGATTTTTAGTTCTTTAGTAAGAAAAATATCTCTGGTTTTGATAGAGTTGTGTTGCCTCCTGTTTAGCATTCTAAAATCATTTTACTGTAACTTTATCTCAACAGACAGCTATTTAACAGTTAAATCTTTCCATTAGATTATAGAAAAGTGTAAGTATGGAGAGGACAATTCCATCTTTTCCACAAACTTTATGATGTTTGGCTAATGAAACAGCAGATCAGTTGCTTAGTAAACACATCCAATTATATTAATAATTAAAAATCTGAGCGAGGAATTAGAGCCCAAGATCAAGACTTAGACTTTACTGAAAGACAGGCATGTGGGCAACTTTCAGGATTTGAGACTAACTTCGATTTGTTTTCCCCCTTACTAAGAAACAGAGTAATGATACCTACTTACAATTTGGAGCATTTTGTAACACTCATAGACTCATAGAATGATTTGGATTGGAAGGGACCTTTAAAGATCATTTAGTCCAACACCCCTGCCATGGGCAGGGACATCAATCAGATGAGCTAGTATTTGTAAATCAAGGCCAAAACATTCTGGCCATGTAACTAATATACGAAGTCATTTGCACAGAAAATGAGCTCAGACACACTTTTAACTTTTACCTGTTCCCCTTTTATAGTGTGTTGATCCAATGATGTCTTTATTGCAATATTACTGTAATAAGCATATGACAGCTCCAAATCAAGTGGATAGTTATTAATGCCTTGGTAATGTTTATAGCCAAGATTCATCACAGCAAGTCTCTCATTCCCCTGAGCACCAACCAAACTATACAGCAGTCCCTGGCAAAAATCAATAGACATAAACAAGAGTGAATTCAGTGCACATTTCACAAGTTTAGCACTTTGGTGGAGATTTACAGTGAACAGTGTTCATACCTGTAGCTGATAGCCTAGCTATACAACATAAACACAGTGTTGCAGTTTAAGCCACTCACTCACTCCCTCTCTTCTTCCACCCCCCCACTCCAAGAGGGATAGGGAGGAGAACCGAAAGAATGTAACTCCCACGGGTTGAGATAAGAACAGTCCAGTAACTAAGGTATAACACAAACCACAACTGCTACCACCAGTAATAGTAATGATAAGGGAAATAACAAGGAAAGAGAATACAGCCACTCACCACCCACTGACCGATACCCAGCCCGACCCGAGCAGTGATCTAGCCCTTCCAGGTAACTGCCCACAGTTTATATAGTGGGCATGATGTGCTGTAGTGTGGAATACCTCTTTGGCTAGTTTGGGTCAGGTGTCCTGTCTCTGCTTCCTCCCGGCTTCCCCTCCTCCCTGGCAGAGCATGAGGCTCACAAAGTCCTTGGTCAGACTAAACATTACTTAGCAACAACTAAAAACGTCGGTGTTATCAGCATTGCTCCCAGGCTGAAAGTCAAAAGCACAGCACTGCACCAGCTAAGAAGGAGAAAAATGACTGCTACTGCTGAACCCAGGACACACAGTTACAGAATCAAGCACAGTCCTAAAGTAGTTAAAACATCTTCTATACATATAGAAAGATTTGACAGAAAAACTAGATTCTAAATACTTTTCAAGTATTGTACTTACTCTGCCACTGCTAAGTCTGCAGCAATTTTTAAAGCCACCTTATGATAGTGTTAATTATACTCTGACACATTCTATACTCTGCAGTACCTTAACTAGTCTCACTGATGTCAACCGGAGTTTTCGCACTGAATTCAGTGGAAACATCTGGAAGTTAACAAACAACACTTGAAAATCTTACCGTAAGGATCTGACAGGAATAGAAGGATGGGACTTGTGGCTGACAAGGTTTCAGCACAAAGCTCCCTTGAGATACCTGTTAATTAGTGCTAGACATAGCCTAGTTACCTGCACATTTGCCAAGATCATTTTCAGTGCTACTATTATTTTTCACCTGCACAGTAATAAAAACAGTGGTGTCCCATCTGTGCTGGATATTAAATTATTTCCTACAATATCTGAAGCAGATCCAATAATGGAATTACTTGGCCTCCAAAATTAGCACTAGATATAATCCATAATTAGGGTATAAACCAGACTTCTGTCTAAGGTTTCTTGTGTTTGAGAAAATACAGGGAGCTTGGTTTCAGATTGGGCTCTCAGGGGTACTTCTGATTTAGTATCCTGTAACCAAATTAGGCAGATTTGCTATTCTTCATGAGCTTTTTATATGATACCATTATATCACAATTAAATATCTGTTGGCAGTTTCAGTGTAGCCCTCTTCCAGTGATATTTAAACACTTCCCTTTTATTTGACCTTGCAATGGAATCATATGGAAACATTCTAGTTATTTCCAACCTGCCTAAAAGGTTGGGAGTTCACATGCTCTGCAGTCCGTAAGCTGAAGCACAATCAGTTTTTCTGCAAACAAAAGTGTTTTACTTTGTTACCTTTAATCATTTGACCATTTTATATATATATATTTGACCAGTATATATATATATATATATATATATATATGACCATCTGTGCCACAGTTTTGCACACTGTAAAATGGGACTGCTTTCCTGACTCTACCATGCAACCTTTCCACTTTAGGAGATTTGCCTGACATGAGACTATTTTCATACTCATCTACAGATATGGGTGACTCGAGTGTTATACCTCATCCTACCTCCTCAGTGACCAGGAAAAGCAGTATGTTCCATGTTGTTCACTTTACCACCATTTTTAGGTCTTACTAAAACACTGATTTCTTTTTTCTTCATGAGCAGGATAAGGATTCTCACCATCAGGACATCATAAAGACTTCACTGACATTGGGCTATTCAGAAGTAGTGGTTGAGGAATCCCTTCAACCGCAGCCTGGATCTGGAAGCCCTTACACAGCTTTTAATTCCACTGATCATAAATTCATCCCATATCTAAACTGCTTTTAGAAGTAATTAATTTCACAGACATAACCAAACATATTAAATATACTACCTTTGTGCGATCCACAGACACACCAAGCCCTGTTTCAAATATAACTGCAAGGAAATAGGAAGCCTTATGGTATCCACAACAACTGGACTCCACCAAGAGAGGGACAGAGGAGCCCATATTGCTCAGGCCATCAGTGCTGGACAGATCCTTTGAAACCTTCTCAAATATCTTTCGACCAACTTCTAGAACTGTATCACTTCCATCTTCTAATACTAAAAATAAAACATAGGACACATAGTTACTGCAGGAGTTAAAATCAGGTACTGATTTCCTCTCCTTAATTTCTCGGGACTGCCACAGATTCTGTTATTTCTTATGCTGAATGGTATTCTCAATGCAGACAACCAAAATTTCTAGAGATACAAGGTACTATGGAATAGTAAGAGTGAATAAAAGCCTAAAAGATCATCTCAAAGTAACCAACCACTAAAACCGTGAGGATATCTCTATTTCCTTCTACATAATATGCCATACTTCATTTGCAGCACAACATATAAGCCACATTACGCTGCATTACTCAGCTGCTACCAAAAAATTGTATAAGACATTAAATGAAGTCAAAGCATACTAACTTACATGACATACACTGTGGAGTTTTTTAAAGGCAATAAAATAAAATATGATTACCATCTGGAGCACTGAAATCTGTCTCTTTTAATAGTTTGAGCAAAGTATGGTACTTTTCCCTGAGCTCTTTTCCCCACATGAAGGCATCACATTTGGATTTTTCACCATATTTATGAATCAGCTTCAAATAATAGTTTTCACAGTAACCTAGAGAAAACAACATAGTTAAGACATGAAAGCTGACTTGGCAGGTCTTTAAAACAAACTTCTGGCAGATTAAAAAAAAGATGCCTCTAGGGTAAACTAAAAATTTAACTAAAAAGTTCTAGTGTAAACTAAGATAATGTATTGATAAAAACTCATATAGCTAGCACAGGCCACTTACAAATACATATTTCTTCTACTCTCTTCCATACTCTGGTCACAATATATGCAATCAAATTCTAATTGGAAATATAAGTTAGTTTTCAGCACACATTTAAGCTATGTAATTCTTTCACTGAAGTGGCTGCTTTGATATAAACCTCTCAATTACTACACATCAGGCAAATGTGGCAGAGACATTCTAGCAAAACCCAGCCACTATGGGGAAAAAACTTAGAAGGGCAATCAAACAGCTTACATGAAAGCTTGAAACTCTTTCTTTGTCCCTTTATGCAACTGTCTTGTTAGAGAAGAAATACCAAGAACATGATTTAAGCTTGTATTCCATGGCACGAAAGACTTCGCAGGAACAAAACCACAGCTTTAGCTTTAGCTACCAATAACAGGCCTAATCTCTTCAAATTGTCTTTTTTTCTTGTTATGGCTGAATTCAAGTTTACTTTTGATGATTGTTATCCAGATTCTGGCAAAAGGAAAGAAAACAGGTCTCCAAAGATTACAGTTAAAAAGTCGTATGTCATAGATCAACACTCACATTTTCTTTGCCCTTTTTCACCCTGCTTTACAATATGTCTGTACTCATAAACTATTTCTTGAATGTCCATGCATCTCTCGTAGTAAAGTTCAATTTGTTCCACTGTTTCTTTGTCATGAAGAGGATTAGAAATCTATAAAAAGGCAAATTATGGATAAATAGCATCCACAGTATCTATTGCTGTCAATACTTAACTAGAAAGAAGTGTTACACACATCTTCTAGCATTTGAAGAGGTAACTAACATTCTGAGATTTCAACAGAAAATTATCACATTTTAGTTATATATTCCCAAGCACTATTATGATTTATAGCAAGTTTATCACTTAGCAGGAGCTTCAGTTAAGAAAACAAATACAATAAAAAGCACGGCCATAGCTGGCTGTTAAGATTTAAACATTTCCAAATACTGCTTTCATTTACCTGTTCTGTTTCCAACACACTGAGACGATAGTACTTCACAGGTCCAAAGAATGCTTCAATACCATTTACATATCCACTACCTCCAAGAACAAAGTATCCAGCAGTGTCATCATAATAGAAATCTTCCCTAAAACTTGAAAACATTAAAGAGAAGTTGGCAGTCAAGAAGTACTATGAAAGATAAAAAGAAATATGTGTCTCAATATTGCCATAACTGACAGCCTTAAGCTCATTCCCAGTATCTTCTCATCGTTTACTCTCAAAATCTACTCTGCAATTTGGTGTGGCATCGTGTGGAGTAAATTTAACAAACCCTTTGTCTACAAACATGGTAAACCAGCAAGGTGTTTTATTTTTCTGACCTGTAGGTATCTTCTGGTGTTATATACATCATTACACAACCTCAGAGATTTCAGTATCAGCTCTCCCTTGCATGTTTCTAGAACTGGCATATGAAAATTTAAGTTATTTGTCTCCTAGGGTTACTATCTACAAATTTACAATTTCTGGTTTGAAACCATAGCAGAGAAGGAACAACACTGAAGTCTGTCATGCAATTTAACTTACTTTCTATATTATAAGGTTTTTCATCATTATTATTTGCACAAAAAAGAGTGAATCTTAAATTACAGTGAAATAAAACAATTAAAGACCCATTAAAAAAATATTCAGTTCCTTAGAATGAAGGATAGAGCAAGAACATTTTTGGCAGAAATTTTGCTCTCTACCTAAGCAAATTAGGTAACAATTTCACCACTGAAATCAGAGCTCTCTCGCAGCAACAGCAAAACTTCCCTTGACTTTAGTAAGGCCAAGACTTCATTTGAAGATAGATCCTAATACCACTCTACCTTCCAATCAGACTTTAGTGAGGGTTATTAGATGCTAGAGTACTGGATCTTGCAGCATGTTAACTCAACGAGCTCATGGCACTAACAAAATTTTTCAGCTCATATTCAATGTAAGTGCAGTAAAATGCAAACTGTTTTTGAAAGCACAGAGTGGAAAAACACCCCACAGACATTTTGAAAATCATCTGGAATCTCAGTTACAAACTTGTGCTCTCCTTCTCCCGTTTTCCGTATCTGAACACACACACACAAATCTATTACTCAACAAAGGGGAAAATGCTGCTTACATAAAAGACTGATGATGATGTCTTTTCAAATTCTTCCCAACACTGCTTACTTCTATCTAAAAGAACACAAAATATTAATTATAGTAAACAAGATATTACAAGATTCATTTATTAAGCCATTTCAACTCAATAGTTCAGAAGATTACAGCTGTGGCTTGTTGCATCTCCTCTGAACCAAAGAGGAAGGTGTCACATACCCAATATACATCATAAGAGTTTAATGGAAAGCATTGGCACTGGTCTGTCCTGGCCAACTGCGAGCAATCAAAAATAGCAAAAATAGCACAGATGGTGCCTACTTCAGCTATTTCATTCCTGTGTTCAATTACAAGACATCTATACTCTTCTGAAACTTTTATCCTTCCAAAGTGTGAAATGCTGTTTTGCTTTGATATAGCAGAGATGCTGAATCTCTCCTAAAGAACTTGTAGCTTACAGGTGAAGAATGGCCATAAAGCTAACGTAAGAGACCATGATTTTAAAAAATCTGCATTCAACTCCTACTTCTACAAATGTACTTTCAGTAGGTTTTCAGTGCCAGACTGGATAAAGGAATTCCGATGCTTGAGAAGGAAGATAAGTTTTTTATACATGTTGGTATTGTAAAAAGTTGCCCAAGGACTCATAAAACAATCATGCAAAATTGTCTCACATGCCTGGGTATTTTTAGGCATTCATCTGCATCTTCAGATGCTCTTAAATTCTCATTATTTCTCGATGCCTCAATTTCTCAGCCTTCCCTAGTTTATCTATTTTGTCTCAGATCATGCTGGACTAAATGTATCTAAATCAACAGAAGTGAAATACTCATGGAATGACTTATGCTGCAAAAGACCTTTAAGTCCTGAGTCCAACTGTAAACCTAACACTGCTAAATCCACCACTGAAGCACATCCCTACGCATCACATCCATGTCTTAAATACCTCCAGGTATAGTGATCGAACAACTTTATTGGGCAGCCTGTATTCATGCTTGATAATCCTTCCAGAGAAGAATTTTATCCTAATATTCAATCTAAACTTTCCCTGGGGTAACCTGAGAGTGTTTCCTCTTGTCCCATCAGTTGTTATCTGGGAGAAGAGACCAACACTCACCTCACTACAACCTCCTTTCAGGTAGCTGTAGAGAGCAATAAGGACTCCCCTGAGCCTCCTTTTCTCCAGGATAAACAACCTCAGTTCCCTCAGCGACTCCTTATAAGACTTGTGCTCCAGACCCTTCACCAGCTTCCTCGCTCTTTTGGACCCAAAGTGCCTAAACAAGGAGATTCTTCTGTACCTTTTGAGGATGTAGCATTTAAAAACTTATTCCAGGAAGGTGTGTCATTAAGATGGAACTGAACCAAAGCTTCACCTCTTCCAAGGAATGGCTCTAAGTACTGAAATGTTCTCAAGTTTAGTCCTATTTCCTCTTTTTTCCACAAGAGTGTCATTAAACTCTTCATGGCTCCCTTATTTTGTCCAGAAGTGGAATTTTTTGACCATATGTTTTACCTCACACCTGAATAAATTCACTCTGCTGTCTGATGGAAGAACATTTTTTCTTAATCTGATCATACCAGCAATCCCCAAATTTCCAACAATTCAAGACTAATATACTCTCTATCAATATTGACAGTAACTTTCACATCTGCACCTGAATCCATAGGGTCTTCCCTTTCCCATGAACTTAAATTATAACTACAATTTAAACAAGCAGAAAAAGTTCTGATTCCAAAAAACACTTTTCCCCCCACTTTTCCCTTTAACAGTATATTTAAAAGCATATTTTATTAAAAGTAAACGCACTTTTCTACCCCATTTTCTTGCAAGACAATCAGTTGCTCACCATGTACATACTTAAGGGTACTTAAAGGTGGGGTGCAAAGGAACAGCAGTAGCTTAGCCTGTACCTTGCTCTCTCAGTGCAGCATTGTTTCAGCTTTATCAGTCATTTACCTCATATTTCAAATTTGCTTAGCTGTACTTGCCATTAATTAGCAATTTCTTTTTTCAATTCAGAATGTAATCTATTCCACCATTTTCAAGGAAATGAATTTGAGAAAAAGAAGACGAAGGGGGTTGATTATTTTCACATCCTACTATCTTATAACAGCTGAAGGCTCAGACAAGAGGGATCTTGGGTAGGGATCCTGCATTTTCAGGGCTGCTTTTGGAAGGTTTTGTGAAAAAACAATTGCAATTTGTTAAAATGTAACTGACGTATTTTATCTACTACAGAGGCATATTCCAGTATTTTTTGCCTTTTAATGATAGTGAATCCTATCCCACTTTGTGAAATATACAAAACTTATAAACTGCACATGCCTCCTGCTAGCTAACACATGTAGGCAAGAGGCATGCTATGGTACAGAAGCCCAGACTCTTGTATTTTCATATCAGAATGGTAGAAACGCCTAAGGCTCCAAGTGCAAAGTCCCTCAGAGCTATTCATACCATGCAACTTAAAGTAGATAAGAGACCTATGCCAGGAGTCCTGGTTGCATGCACAATTAACAGTGTCTCTGGAGAGCAATCATGAGCCAAGATAGCTACTGTAATAGAAGTACTGTACTCAGTATTTCTAGGTTTGGCTGTTATGCATCTGAGTGATTTCCTGAACTTGGATGGTCTCAACCAACATCCTCCAACAATTTTTAGTTATAAATTTTCATTCTTTTGCCATGTAAGCATGTACAAATTACAGTACTTCAGCCTCAGTTATTAAGGGGTTTGTCAGAAGCATAATCAAATTAGACAAATCTCAGCCTTAATCCTGTAATTCAGTAGCATGCATACCTGTCCACCCTTAAAAGAGAGATCCAGTCGAAACCACTGCTTCAGAGGAAGACTGAAGCTAGTTTTCACTGCAAGGTCATCTCCTCTCATGAGGTGCATCTGAATATGCACATAACCTGACAGAGCAACAAAGGAAGAAAAAGTAAACAAACAACACAGAAATATGAAGATTAACAACAGGGTTCCTAATGTATTATTTACAATGATTCTGTTTTCTTCATCCTCTTCATCACCAACAGAGATCTGGGCACTCGCCAAGCCATACATCAGCTCTCACAGAATCCCAGGGAAATGTGTTCCATGAGTCAGTTACACACATCTTGGATGCTAGTGCCCAGGCTCCCACATAAAACCACAGACTCTAAAAAACTGTCTACAGCTAAACATACTAAACATAAGGGTGTCACAGTTGATCTCAAACACCAGAAAGCAGACATGACTTGCAGCAAATAGAAGAAGGGAACAGCAAATAATAGTACTTGCTCAACACTCAACTGCTAGGATATGAGTGCAATGATCATGAAGAAGACGACTATACCTCCACTCTTGAACCTGCAGAACCTAGACATGGTCTGAGCTCTTGAGACCAGAACAAGCTATTATGGTAATCTAGTCCAACACTGAGAATAAAACTGCCCCCAAACCTCTCCAAGAAAATCTCATATCAAGCGGACAACTTCCAGTTGAGCTGCCATTTTTGTTTGTTCTTCAAACCACCCAGTTTATAATAGATAAATTAATTAATCTAGATTGGTTACAAGACAGTGAAAATGGAAATAGCAAAAATAACAGAAAGGAAAAAAACTGCAAAGAAGGGAAAAGAAAAATGTAATGTCTTATAAAAAGCCAGGTACGCAATTTAAAAGCTCTGTACACCTCCTTCCTCTCTGAGCCTGCCAGCAGCCCACAGCTGCTGAATTTCATTCTCTATCAGAGGTTAAAGAGCCGTCTTCTGGTAGAAATGCTCCTCTACTACAAGTGTTGCTAGACTAAGACAGTGCTACCTCTTAACTTCTATTGGATCAGGGAAATAGACTGTGCTTCTTGAACACTGCCATACAGGCAAGGCCTTTACTGATGCTATTTCAGATTTGTAAAAATTTTCATGTAGTATGTTTATAAGGCTCGAGAAGAATATTAAAATAACACTTCAATAATAATAGCAAAGGTTGTTCATTGATATAAGACTGTTTAATCCCCCTGTATGTTCCTGACCTACAGGTCAGGATTCAGTCTATTCTAACAAAGCGAACATTTTCTGTAGTTTGCCAAGACTAGATGCTATGCAGCTATTTCTCAGTTTTACCCTATTAATTTGGTAGCTACGTTCCTACTGAGACACTGTAGTCAAAAAGAAGAATTTTGCAAGGGATCAGTTTCACAAAATAGGTCTGAGAACACATTTATAAATGTCATTTCTAGCCACAAATGTATGAAGGCTGTTAATAATATCCCTTACCTTCCTCATTGAGAAATACAGCAGGAGTACTGTACATTTCTTTTGGATCAATAAAATAGAGTATACCACACAGATCTTTTTCACAGTGGTGGAGTAAATACAGCCAGATAGAAACAGTGAACCTGCATGAGCAAAAATAAACAAAAAATCCACTTTTAATGAGGAATCTCCCTATATAATTTGAAAAGCATACATTTCACTTTAATTTAGCAAACCTGTTTCACAGACATAATCTTCAGAACAGCACATATCCTCTGCAGTGAAAACCTTCAGAGCAACAGTACTTAAGGCTCTTGGATCTGTGATCTCCTTTTAACCCCACACTTTTGTGGTAACAACATGAGAGAAGAGTACGGGAATGTTATCTGAATCAATTCCAGAATGCTGCTTCAGAGCTACTGCCAGATCCCACATCAATAAAGAACTGGAAACACTACTGAGACAACTTGGAGCCAACCTCCCGCATGCAGGGTACAGTAGAAAATCCCCAAATGCATGGTCGTGTAGTCTTGATTGTCAAAGGCAGTAAAAACTAAGCTGTGTCTTCTATGCTAAATGCAAATTGTGAAGATGTGCTTGGAAGAAGTAGCTAAAAATGAATCCAGCGGCTGGGTAGTACAGATAGGTATGAACAGCTGTCACAAAGTTATCACAGGATAAATAAAGGTGGAACCTGTGCAAACTATGGAGAAGTGCAAAATAAAAACCTGAAGACCGAACAATGATATCTAGTTAGAAATTTCTGTGCAAAGCTGGCTGAGGCACTAAAAGCGTAACTTATACTGCAGTATCTAATTTTAAGGAATTTCTCTGTGCCAGACTAAATCTGCTTCAGTGCTTTTAACAGAAACTTGACCACTTATTTTTATAACCTTTCCATAGCACTTAGGCCAGTGCTGAACATCTATAAAAACTATACCCCCAGTGTACAGCCAGCAAAGCAATATGACTATTACAATTTCTGATAAAAATAGTTCTCTTAGTGACTTCTAGAAGGAGATCACAAAGACTTATATATTGATTGTTATGACCTACAGGCAAACACTGTTTCCAGAAATACTGCTTATGCTTATATACTGCTCTTTTCATCTTTCACCTCTGGCAATATAGCAAACTTTCTTTGAATGCTGCAGTCTACAGTTAATCTTCCATTGCTAGATTGCCAATCTGAACAAAGAATTGTTCTGGACATTTCCTGGGACAGGTCTGGGACAATGCTGACTCATTTCACATCTCCGCTGCTGCAGAATGCACTACAGTGCGAGTAGTCCCTTACAGTCCCAGTCCATCCTTGCTGCAGGCTGTCCACTGGTAGCTACCTCAAACCGCAGCTATTTCCAGTCCTTTTTCTTTACAAATCCCTGACTGAAGTCAAACAAGTAACTTCATTTAGATCCATCTACTTCTGTTGGCCTTTTGCTGCAATAGGGAACAACAGCTCACATACAGAAAGCTGAGGGAAAACTCTCTTCCTCTTCTTACCAGAGCTACCCCAGGCTGTCACAACCACAGGCAACCATAAGAGACAGGCAATACTGCATGATAACACTGGAGACACCACCTGCAAGCAAGAGAGGGTGGAACCATGTGGAGCAGGTCAAGGCACGCATAAATTCATGCCATATATTCTCAACCACAGCTTGAGCACCTCAGGAGCAGAATGCAATTGTGCTGGCGAGCAAAGGGCAGCAGGCTGTGCAAACCAGGCTGTCCCCCATCCCAAAGAGGCCAGGAGCTAAAAATTCCTCTGTACTTATGACTTCAGAGCTATAGTTTGAGGGCTAGTAATTTGTATGCAACCTGCACTATCTGGCAAGTCTTCTTTGGCACTGTTCTTGTGGTCACAGGCCAAATACAAACCAGCAGGCAAGTTCCAGTTCCTGCGATCGTTTCCTATTTCTGTAATAACGTTGCTGGGGTAACAGGATCTGGTGGAAGGGAGATATATTTCTGTATCTCTATATATACTTTTTCCTTTAAAGTTGCAAAATATAACTGAAGAGTTGTGACAGTTCTGGGAAGATGAAGAAGAGTAGAAAAAGATAATCTTCACAGAATGATTCCTCTGTAACTGAAGAGTGTGCAGGGGCTACAGGGTTTTACTCCTGTCCAACTAGGAGAGTTTACACAGTGATAGTGGAACGAAAGAGTGTAAGATCAAGCTGTAAGACTTACTAGGCAGGGGATTCTATCGCTAAGGGCTTGTCAGCTGCAACATAAACTGGAGTGTAAAATTATAGGGAAAAAGCTGCTCCACACTGCAAGAAACCACACTCTGTACTTGGCATCAAAAGGATGTTTGAAATGCAGATCTCTCTGTAATGCAGAAAAACCCAGGCTAGCTAGTCATGAGAGAGCAATCTGACTATGACAGAACATCTAACCCTTCTAAGTGTACCTGATCAGCTCAGTTTCACTTACTATTGGGACCCCTTACACAGCACTGCACTAACACATACTTTAAGTATATTCCCAAGGTTCAGGTTGATCCTCTCCAAAACCAAGATCAGGGAACTGCCAACTAGTTTCTTTTTGTGCCTATTCTCAAACTGGTAGGCAGCATTCTTTTAATTTGTGGTATACCCTAAGAGTTTAAGTACATTCTATAGCTTTCAATAATCAATTACAGCCTGCTTCAATTATTTGACTATACTTACATAGGATAATCAATCTGATGTTGTCTGACTGTCTCAAGTTCTTTGTTTTCGAACTGTTCAAATTTCTTCACAATTCCTGTTTTCTCCCCACTGGAAGCGTATATAAAGTTGAGAATCTGGACACCATCTGCAAAATACAATCCTTCTTAAATCTTCCAGACAACAATCATTGATAACTAATTAATTAGCTCATATTCATACAGTCAAATATTTGAATCACATAACAGATTTAAATTAACATAAAACTTCAATAAGTCCTTAAACACAACTTCACTCATAGCTATTAAATACAGTACAGTCTTGGACTGAATAACCCACAGAAAGTGAAGTCCATTTTCAGTTGATATGAGGAACAGGGAAAGAATAGACTCATCTAAATCTGAGACACTTAAAGAACTAGTTAGTAAGGAAGAAATCTTCATTTATATTATTCACCTAAATCTCATTCTATCTTTGGTTACGTCTTCGTGACATTACTCCATAGCTCTTGGACTTTATCTCCATTTTCAGCTCTCCAGTTTATATTGTATGTATGTATAGATACCAATTCTGTTCTAAGCTGATATGCATAATCCTGTAATAAATTTGATAAAGCTGCCCCTGCTAAGGAACAGGAAAAAGATTTTCAAGGTCATGACATATTATCAGATTTCCTATCTTATTTTAAAAACCAAATCTGAATATAATGTTATTTCCTCCTGTTTCTTGTTACACTGTTTTCATTTATAATACAATTTGATAACAGAGAAGATGTTTCACACTGTTGTCAGAGATCACATGCTGTCTCCAACAAGAAGCAACATCATTGCTTCCCTATTTGTCTTCAGAGCATTTTACATGTTAAGGTAGCAAAAACAAATTACACAAATACCATCATGGGATTTCCTAGGAAAGACACCATTAGAAGCAAATAACCCAATTTCTTTTAGATTCTGTTTTCAATATATATTGAAGAAAAAATAAAGAATTTTCAGCAGGTGTAAAGCTAGAGATGGGCAGAGAGAAAAATAATCAGAACTCAGAGAAAAGCTATAATGTAGAGTTGTGAGTTTCAGTAATTTATAGTCAGTAAGTCACATTTTTTTATTTTAAACTATAAATTTTAAAATCAAAACTGCTTGTACATAATGTCTGGGGGGAAAAATATGACAGCTATAATTATTTTATTGCATTATAAAGTCTTAAAAATATACTTCTAAGTGCACGGCCATCATCTTAAGCATCAGTAGACTACCTGTGTGAGAATTACGTATGCAAGAACTGACCTAAAGCAGTAAGGACTGAAAAATGCTCTCTGAAGACAAAGGAATGATGTCCACTGGCAATCACTGGGTTTTAAATAATGCTGTCTGAATACATTAGAAAATAGAAGGCCATGCTGCTACAAATCTCCAAGCTGTCAGTGATGAAACAAGTCAGTCCTGAGGGACATGACAGCTTCAGTCATTTGCAACTCTCACCCCTCAGTTATGAAGTTTACATGTTCAATGCTTGCCAAGTAAATCACGCTACATAGCATTTACTATTTACTACTGGTATGTGCTTTTAACAGCTTACCAAGGATGTTATTTGGGTCCCATTAGTTTCCTGGGGGAAAAAAGTGACATTATACCTACCACTTTCATGAGGGCACTGAGGTATCCTTTTTGCCTGGAGCATCCACAAATAGTCAGCACCCCACTGAAGGCAAACTTTGTGGTCCTTAAATGGGCGCTCAAAAGGTGGAACTGCTTCTAAGAAAGTGTAGTTCTTGGCAACTGCATCCTGGTAGTCTTCATTCTGCTCAGTATCATAGCTGGTAACTGATTTATGACTAATCCATGCATATAATATCACACTGTGCACAATTATTGAGTTTCTGATGATATAGTCATCTCTGTAAACCATGATGTTCGGAAATTTCAAATGTACTTGTCGAGTTCTGCTAACATAAAGGTTCTTCTCATCTTTCCATCTCCTTCTATATACTGGTACACCAGTCCTGAACTCAGAAGAAGCTACTGCTTCCAAGTTGATAATACAAGGCTTAGAACACAAATACTGAACTGAAACTTCCGAATTGTTAAGAACCTTCCTTTCTAAAATGTTTAAATGAATAAAGTCCACATAAGTCATGTTTGGTTCAAACTGAACTGCCGTTGTACGCAATGTTTCCTTTCCAAAGGATGGCACAAAATTCTGGAAATTAAAACAAACACAAAACATGTTAACCAGAGAATCTAAGTTTGCATGATTACTAATATACCTGCAGCAGTAACAGAACACTGCACAAGCAGAAAGTTTACATACCATGCACGAACTCCAGATTAGGTTTCTTTCACACAGCAAGCAGATGTGCATTACTGGAGAACTATCATCAAGGTTTTAATGGCAGCAACTCCCTTACATCAAATTCTCATAGTTACACATGCTTCTACAAACAAACTGTATTTACAGGGTGTATCCTTTCGCCCTTCCGCAAATGGAATCCGGTCTAAGATACTGACTTACACGTCATGCTATTGACACATGCTCCTAGAATCGTCCCTAAAGAGTATATATTAAAATGTACTGGCATTTATTCATTGTATTGTTGTCCACTAGTACTGCCACTACATGAAGTTTCTGCATATTTTGTAAAAGTTAGCTAATTTTGTCACCTCTCATGCAGATACCTGTAGGACGTCGTAAGAACTAAGGCTTCCTGAGAATGAATTAATGTTCATGAAGTGTTAAGGAGATTATTATTGAAATGTTCTTACCCTGGAGACAGACTTAGAAATCTGAGCAGCAAGACCAGCAGGCAGCATTTGCTCAGCTTCTGCTCTCTGCAGCTATGTACATTATAATAAACTTTGTGAGTGTTTAGACTTACACCAGGATCATCCTCCATGGTGAAGTTCTTGTACCTACGGCTTCAAACAGCTTCTTGTCTTCTTGCTCTGCAATCAGCATCCGGCTTGATGCACTGCCAAGGATACTGAGGATTACTCAGCTCAGAGGGCAGTCACTAGGACTGCACTTCTGCCAGGTCCCCTGATCCATCTAAAACATTCAGAATTGCCTCTTAGGATTACCAGGGAAGCTGGTCATTAAGATTGCTTAAAATGAGAAGATATGTCTTCGGCAACTTTTAACTTTGCTAAGCTTAAACAAATTGAACTGAACTTTATCTTGGATTGATGTTTTTTTCACTGTGATTCTTAAAAGCTTTGGCCAAGTTATTAGCACATTTCTAATTATCAGCATTATGTGTCATGCAACCTGGAGGACAAGACCTTCACTGTGATGCAATATGGGGATCAGTAAAAGTCCTTAATGATAAACTATTTTGCTTCACTGCTTGAGAGCTACACTCTAAAACATAAAGCCAGCAAAACCTGTGAAGGTATAAATATGGATACTGAAAAACAATGCCTACTGTGAAGGGGCTAAAAAAGTAATCACAATTGGAGGCTGGTGTCCATCGGAAAAGTTACCGCCACATCCTGTAACAACACACATGCACAAATACCCGTATAAAAGTTGACAAGAGAACCCTAATTTTAATATTAATTTTATTATCTTTCAGAGCTTGACTTGACAAAGATACTATTCTTTTATGTTTCCTACATAATTCTTCTTCGGTCATAGATACCTCTAAAACCATCAAAAGTGCATAGCAGTAAAGCCAAATTCTTGTAAATCTCTTCTACTTGGTTGTTATCATTCATATTTCTAACTTTTTTTCAAATCTTACAATAAAGAGTACTTGTAAACAGCTTAATCCCTGTGATATGGGGCTGTGTCATGAGGAAGATGGTAATATGTTATGAACGTAATGCCACGGGGTTAGCACAAAATGCAGCAGTCTAGCAGGTAGGCACTACAAATCACCATGACACCACTGTGTGCCTACCACACACACATATTTACTGTCAAAATACACACGGGCAGCTCCCAGTTTTCTCAGGGGTTTATCCAATACAGCAATATGGGAGCTGGTCTCCAGCAATGACAGCTTGGGTCTAGCACAGTTAACACAGATACGGCAGTGTATGAATGTGGCCACCTGCCTTCCAGTGAGTGGCAGAAAATTTGCAGTGGGGATCTCATGGTAGAAAGCTCTGCAGTCCAAAGCCGGCTCCTTGTAGAACCAACTCCGTGATGCTCATAGAGCACTTAAGCGTGAGTTACTGTGACTGCTGATGCACAAGGTGAACTTCAGCCACACCTAACCTACCCTTCCGGAGGCTCATACTGAAAGGAGCATGGTGCAAAGACCCCTGAGCCATCCCACACCCTGCAGCAGAGATCACAGACCATAACCTCTTCCAGACCACAGCTGTGTCTCTGTTATTACTTGGTTGCCTCTACACAGGGTCCCTAGAGCACTGCATAATGTGCATAGTACCTTCCCCCCATTATCTTAGACAAGGTAGAGTTAATTGTGTATTATCTCCAACCATGAGAGCGAGGATGAAAGGATTACACAATAAGCGTGATTATGAGATTTAAACATAAAAGTTTCCCAGCACAGTAAAGAGGCCACGTATGCTGGATTCAAACCGTGGCCATAAACTGGCAGAGCTCAACAAGAAAGGCTTCATTGTGTGGGGCAACTCAGCCACAAAAAATGTAAAAGCTTTTTTTCTTGATCTTTTTCTTAAAACCTGCTGAATCTGAAGGAGACAGCACAAGTCACTCCATCAGATGCTGGGATGAGAATCATTGTGTGAGGCAATCACAACAACCAATAGGGAAGTGAAATTTTTCAGCAGTGTATTATATACAGAAATGATGAGAAACTGTTCCTTCACTTGCTGGAAATAAGATCTCAGCAGAACCCTCCCGGAGTTCACCCCTGCAGAAATCCCACACAGCCCCTTGAAACTGCACCTGTTTGCACGAAGTCTGCAAATAACCAGAGTGCTTTCCCTGTGAACACCCACCATACCACACTAGATCTTAAGATGCTTGAAAAGGAAACATGCCAAAAAGCTGCCCATCAGCATCAATACCCGCTACAGGCATACAGAGTTTAACCGAGTTCGTGTTCAACAGCGTTAAGAGGAAAAAGCAGTTTAGTAGATGCTTCTAAAATGCTTCTGTTTCTGTAAGCCAGAGCAGCCCCATAGTGACACGTGTATCTGTAAGTAGATGTCAAAGGCACCCCCCTTCTTTCGAACCCCAAATATCACGTCACTTAGGTAAAGCTTTTTAACACCTCGATTTAACGACCTCATGTCCTCCAGCTCCATAACGCGGCATAACCGTGGGGCTAGACGGGTTTAGCCGGGCCGGGCCAGGCCGGACAACCGCGAGGCTGGCTCCGAGCGGCGGCCTCGGCCCCCGCGCTCCCCTGGACACCGGCTTCGGCCCCGACCGACCACAGCCTGCAGTCCTGCACCGGCCCCCTGAGCGCGGAGCTCCGCCGCGGAGCACCCGCGTACCCCGCCCGCGGGGCTGGGCGCTCCCCGCCAGCCGCCGCCCGACCCGGCCGTTCGCCGCAGCCACAGTGTTCGGCCGCGACGTGACGTGCCGGGCCACGGCAGGTGCGGCGCCGGCCGCCACTCACCGTGAGGAACAGCAGGAGGAGCAGAAGGGAACAGCAGCGGGGCACGGCGGGGCAATCAGCCGGTGGGTCCATACTGCCGCGGTGGGGGCGCTGCCCAGCCCGGCCAGGAGTGCGCGCCTGGCCACGCCGACAAGGACGCGGCAGGTCCGGCTTCCTGAAGGAGGGGCCACCGCCGCCAGGTGCCGAGGGCGTGGAGGGGCCGGGCCGGGCCGGGCCGGGCTACACCCGGGGTGCCGAGCTCCCCTGCCGTGCCGTGGAGCAGAGCACAGGCCTGCGCACGCCGGTCAGCGGACACTGGGCGGCGTGCTGGTCGCCTGGCCTGTCGTGACACAACGAACCGCGGCGCGTGTGTCGCGGCGGGTGTGTCGCGCCGCGGTCCCCGCCTCGCCGAGGTCCACGGACACCAGGCCGTGCCCCGCCGACCCGCACGGGGGCGCTGCCCGCCGCTGTTGCAGGGCCAGGTCGGAGGGGCGGAGCTTCCGGTGCATCCCGGAAATAGGAGCCACAACTGTTCCGGGTTGTGTCCGCCGGCGATGGCGAGGTTGTACCGCACGGTTGGTATCTTCGGTGGTTTCGTGGCCGTGGTGGCGGCAGCTTTTTACCCCATCTACTTCCGGCCGCTGCTAATGCCGGAGGAGTACAGTGAGTGCTTGCGCGGCGGGAGGGGAGCGGGCCGTGAGCGGTTTGTGTCCCGCTGTGGGACGGGACGGGAAGGGAGGGGAAGGGAGAGGAAGGGAGCGCGAGCGGGCCTGCCTGAGGGTGCCCTGGGGCTGCCTGAGGGTGCCCTGGGGCTGCCTGAGGGTGCCCTGGGGCTGCCTGAGGGTGCCCTGGGGCTGCCGGTGGGTGAGAGTGGCCGAGAGGCTTCTGCTCGCCCGAAAGATACTTAGAAAAAACCCAGCTAAAACTCGTAGTATTCTTGTTTCAAGCTACAGGCCAGTACGTGCCCAAGGACACCCTTTAGCTATTCACTAAAGTTGCTAAGAGGATGGAAATGCAGTTAAAAGTTTCGATCGGGGGCTGGTGCATCTCTTCGGTGAGCTAAAAGTGAGGTTGTTGGGTTCGTTCAGCGTGGAGAAGAGACGGCTCAGGGGAGACCTTAGATCCCAGAGTTCCCAGTGTCTCCGGGGAGCTTACAAAAAGGATGGGGACAGGGCCATAGGCCAAGGCATGATGATTCTAAATTTAAAGAGAGTAGATTCAAACTAGATACAAGGAATACATTTTTTTACAATGAGGATGGTGAGGCATTGGAGCAGGTTGTAGATGCCCTGTTCCTGGAAACAGTCAAGGTCAGATTGGACAACGCTCTTGAGCAACGTGAGCGAGTTGAAGATGTCCCTGCTTATTTTGAGGGGAATGGACTAGATGTCCTTTAAAGGTCCCTTCCAACCCAAACAGACCATTCTGTGACTCTTTGAGTTATGTTTTCCAGCTGCAATTTAAGTGTTTACCTTAAATAGTGCTAACAGATTCTGTACCGGTTGCGATGGTTTGCTAGAGCTGCTCTCGGTCTGAAACTGGCTGTTGAGGAGAGCCCACTTTCCTGCCAGTACCACACAAAACCGAAGGAAGCCCGCCCCTGGGCGCTGGGACGAGGGAGCTCTCATAGTCGCCTGCGGGTTCGGGTGCGAAGCCCCGCGGCTGCCAGCGATGGCTCCCCTCGCGCCGCGGGAACGGTAGGGGGAGCACCCGTGGCTCCTGAGCTTGTGTTCAGTACCGCAGAAGGGAGCGGGTAAAGGTTCTGGGTAAAAGTTCTGCCTCATCCCCTTACTTCAGCTTGTGCAAAACTCAGCAAGCTGTTGACGACAGCCTGAAGATGTATGTGGTTAATTTCCTGAGACAACTGAAGCGATTTCTAGGAAGAAGTAAAAAAAAAGGAAAAGGGTAATAAACTTATTGATCTTGGAGGGACTTTAGCCTTGCATCAAAGATGATGTAAAATTTAATTTGCAGGCAGATTTTTATTTAAGGAAGCTATGCCTGTGAGGTTGGAAACTGCCCACAAAGGTTTTCTACTCTCTGTTCCCATTTAAAAAAGTTATTCTTAATTTTTGCTTATGATGCACTTTCCAAGAATATAATACCAGAAGTGAGACTGCGTTAAGGGAAGGAGACAACTAGTAGACAACATCCTCTTTTGTACCTGTGTATTACGTGAGCATATGTTCCCTTGTAGGTTAGGGATTTTTTTAGTCTTGGTTTAGCATATAAGTGATGCATAGTTAGCAAGTGCTTAAATTTTCTATTTCATATGCAATTCTAAGCTTACTGCTTGCTGCTCAAATTCTCCTTTGATCTGACCTTTACTTATTTCTTATGTGCTTTTCTTGATGCTTATCACTGCATTATGAGAGAAGTACAAGCATTAGTTCTTATAATACTTGAGACAAGAACGTGGAATTTCACAGCTGTGGTCCCTGAGCAATAGTATTTTAACCTCTAGGGTACAAAAGATTTGATTTTTCAGAGTACAGTCTAGTAAGCTGTATGGCAACTTCTGTAGGAGCTTACAACTTCCATTGCCTTGAGCTGTGGTGGATACTCAGTATTTCTGCATTTGGGGATGCTGGGTCTGAAGCTGGACATCATCATTATCATCACACAGTAATCTTGCAAAAGGCAAGAACTGATTTTAGTTCTCTGGAGCAACAGCTGGACCTGCCTCCAGTGCCTACCCCCCTTGCAAGTAGAATCAGTTACTGTGATATGCCTGCTAGTTTCCAGTAGCATTAGGCTTGTACCTAGACAGCCTAATTAACACATAGTGCCTAGCCATTCTCAGTGGGATAGGATGCTGAAAGGTTTCAGTTTGAAGTTGAACTTACTTCTGAGTTTCCCCTGAAAATGTGCAGCCTACAGTTGTTTAAAGTTCAGTGGTCTGGGCAGAAGGCTAATTCAGAGCTTTGACTTCCTGCTTCAAAGTACCATGGGGGTGAAGTACTTAACTGGCAGGGGGGAAAAAAGGAGGTGCATTTAGTAAAGGGAAATAACATAGTTTTTGCCATGTCTTGTCTTTCAGGTGGTTGAATCTTTCAAACAAAAAAAGAAAAGCCTGAGACAGGCCCATTGTAGGGAAAAATATCCCTCCAATACTTAAATTCAGACAGTTTACACGCAGTAATTTTGTAGATACTGTCATGAAATCTGCTTGTGGTAAGATGCAGAATCTTTCAGGGCCTGAAAATGGGGGTCACTGATCTTGGAAAGAATAAATCTTAAGAGTTATGTTGAGCCTGTGAGCTCCTAAAAGTACTAGTCCTTATGTGATAAGATCATGACGTGTTTTGGCATCTTTCGTTGAACAGTAGTCGTTACTTTAAGATCTTATTGTTTGTAATCTCTCAAAACAGACAAGCTGTTAGTTTCTCAGTGTATTAAGACTACCTTCCATCATGTAGGTGGATACTCAACAGAATTTTACTATGTAGCATGTAGAATGGATAAAATGGGTGCACTCAAGATGTCTGGTATTCTCTTTCTTCTTAGTAGTGTCCTTTCTGTTCTGTTTTCCAGAGAAAGAACAGTCAGTAAACCGAGCTGGGGTTGTTCAAGAGGATATTCAGCCTGCAGGTATACTCGATTCATGTGTATGCGTTGATTGTTTAAAAGACTTTCTTGAAGTAAGACTGGAATACTTACATGGATTTAAATAATACAGTAAAGAATATATTTAAAGAATATATATAATAAACTTGCTTTGAAATTTTTTTCAGGCTAATTCTTGAGTTGAAAAGTACAGATTAATGAAACTTGTTTTAAATTGGCTTAACAAGCCAAATAAGTTTCAGTAATTCTGTTATTTTCGCACTTTCTTCAATAGATGCCAGTTTCCATACTAGAAATTAACTTCTGAACCAGAGCAACCAAGAACCATGGGTGAGCTGAGCTGCAGTTATAAGAGTACACTATTGTACCCTGGTTTGTGGAATACTGCTTTACAACTAGGCTGAAAAACAGTTTATGAGCACTTTGAAGTACCTTTCAGCCTCCTGGGTGGAGGAATGAGGCAGAAATCCACTACATACAAAGAAAATTTGGAATGCTAATAGCCTTTTGATCCCTGTTGCCCATAGAAGGAGTAGAAGCGCATATGAAGGGAATAAAATTAAAGTATGGCAGACTGTCCTTGATAGTTCATTGTTTCATGGCTAATGGAACTGGCTGTTCATTATGTAAGGTTAGCACATCTTGTTTAAAGACATGAAAGTGCTTGTCTTGATGAAATAGTTCATATCTGAGTATGTTAAAGGGTAATGTATTCCTGTTTTTAGAAAAGCCTGCCATCAGCATCAGGGGAAACCAAATAGGATTAATGCCATGTCATTACTACACGTATTAGTTAAATCATTGGTGCAGGACTTATTTTCCAGGAAAGTGGTGAAATGCTGAAGAGGAGTAGGAAGGGTATTGCGAAATAGAAGTCAGGAAAACCTGCCTTTTTATTAAACATAAGAGGACTGGACTGGTTCATTTATCCAGGATGCTGGTACCTGAGGACCAGTTCTCCTCATTATATCTTTTCCATCTAAATTTAGCTGCTGATGAGGTTATGAGATCCATTAGATGAAAGTGAAATCTGAACAAGTTCAAGTACAAGGTGCAATTCTAGATGGTTGTTCTAGCAATATTAGAACACCTTACCTATGAATGTAATGAATTTTTCAGTTTTCTGAAGCTTAAGATAAAGAGGAAGTTGCCTTTTAAAATATTTTGCAAGCTTAAGCAGAGCTGTGAGTTCAGGGCAGAAACTGGTTCCTTACTGTTTTGTACACCAGGCTGCAGTAGCAGACCAATTTTCTTCAATTTTTTTCCTCCAACAGCCTAGTTATGAACTGCTGGTATTCTCATATTTGATTTGTAGGGTTAAAAGTGTGGTCTGATCCATTTGGAAGAAAGTAATGTTGGCGGCTGGGTGTATTGCAAGGCAAAACTGAAGATGGACATCTTCAGCCGTTTCTTCATTCACTGAACTTTGTCTTTGGGTGTTGCTGGAGAAGAATTCTGAATATGCTGTGTGAGCACATGAGGAGCAACAAAGGCTACTGCTTGAAGTCCTAAGGGATGAACTTATGCTGGTTTTGACAGAGGATACTGGGACGTAGTGCACAGACTGTAGAGAGCTGAATGATTCTTGAGATTAGAAGTAAAATATTTGTTTCTTTGAGAAAAGGGAAGAGGATTTTTTGTTAATATGTAGACTCTTGTAGAATAAATTATGACTAGAATAAGTCATGCAGGCACTGCAGTTTCCTACCTAGTTTGAGAATTATTTTTTGTGGTTTTATTATGAAAACATGATAAAAGTATATACTGAGAGAGATCAGTGCAGAAAATATAACAAGGTGACTGTACATTTGTACATTAAAATTTCTTCCTTTTAAACCAGTGTGTATTTTTTAATTTGTTTCGCAAGTAGGCGTGCAGGTTAACCTTGGCCAGGTGCCGCCCAGCCACTCTCTGGCTCCTCAGCAGGACAGGGGAGAAAACTGGATGAAAAAGCTTGTGGGTCCAGGTAAATACACGGAGGTTGCTTAGCAGCTACTGTTGGAGACAAAACAGACTCAACTTGGGGTAAATTAATGTAGTTTTAATGGCAATTAAAATGGGTTTGGATGGTGAGAAACAAAATTTAAAATAGCACCTTCCCACTGCCTCTCTTTTTCCAGATTGGCTTCACTTCTAACTCCTCCATTTCTTCCCTTCCTGGTCCCCTGAGCAGTTGAGGCGGGGGGGAGGGTAACAGTTCACAGCAGTTCTGTTGCTTTTTCCTCCTCATGTTTTTCCCCTGCTCCTGCATGGGCTGTTCATGAGCTACAGTTCTTTCAGGAAATACCCAGCTGCTCCAGTTTGGGCTCCTCCTCCTCAGGCCACAGTGTGGATAGCTGCTCCAGCATGGTCTTCTCCAGAGGCTGCAGAGGAATACCTGCTCTGGTGCCTAGAACACCTCCTTCCACACCTTCTTTTCTGACTTCGTTGTTCGTACTACTGTTTCCCACTTTTTTCCCCTCATTCCTCTGCTTGTCTGGTGTTCTTTCAAAGGTGCCACCTGCTTGGCTGCTGGGCTGAGCTGTGCCTTGCAGTGGGTTCTTTGTGGAGCCAGCTGGAGCTGTTTGTGGCCAGCATGGGGCAGCTCCTGCAGCCTGCCTTCCTTGTCACCAAAACCCTAACTGGTACACCTAATACAGGAGGTTAACACCAGATATTTGGGTAAAAGAGCAGATACTTTAAAGAATCTCTTTTTAAAAGCACTTTTTCATGGTGAGCATAATGATAGTTAGAACAGGCAAGCAAATGTTTGCCCCTACCAAAAATCCTTACCTAAATTCCACGTCTCTCTTAATAATTGGTTCTGAATAAACTATGTGTTTTCAGATTTCAGTGAAAATAAACAGTCTATAATCTGTACTTACAGTCTATAACCTAACCAATATTGTTCTCAGGTACAGATGTAGCATGTGCATTAGAGTGTACTACCTTTTGATTTTTTTTTATCACTTCATTATGGTATACAACATTTTAAGGACCACTGCAAGATCATATATGTTAGTAAGAATGTATGTCTCGTGAATGTTACTTATGAAGTCAGTAGTTTGTTATTTTTTTGGACATCACACATTTATTAAGGTGACAGATGAAAGACTGGATGTTCACAGTGTTCTTTCCCAAACTGCTGTTCTGCTACTTGCTATTCTTTTCTACCTGTTGTTACTGTTCCCCTCCCACTCAAACACGTTTCCGCTTTGAGCTGATTTTTTTTTCCCCAGTCTCCTGTTACCACTATAAGTATTACAAGTTTTTTGTTTGTTTGCTGGAAAAATGAGATCAAACTTGGTTTCTTTGAGTTCTCAGATGACTTCACATGATGGCTGAAGCCGGAGGAAGTATACACATTCACCGTAGGGATAATGACAGATGTTTCACTATATAGCACAGTCATAACTGCTAACACTGTCACAGAGCTAATTCCGTGTTTCCTAGGAAAAGAAGAAGTGATTAAAGTGAGGAACAGACTGTTTTTTTTAAAAATCACTTAATTCTTTCTTCAATGAAACTGTGGAAATACGGGAGCCTTGGGTTCTGTTTTCTCAGACAAGACATTATAGAAATGCATCAGTTTCAGCAAAGTTGTCTAAAGCGTGTTTGCAGTGGAAATATAGTATTGCTTAAACTCGGGCTCTCCATCTATAACTGACTAGCTGCAAAACAAAGAGTTTCTGGAGAAAGAAACTGAGAATTGTTAAATAATGCTGCTTCTGTCAATTGGTGACGCATGCTTAAAAAACATACGTCATGGTAGTGTGAAAGAAACCACTCTTCAGGATAAGTGACGTGACAAAGGATTTTAAACTACTGAGTTAGGAGATAAGATAATCTGCCTGTCATTTACTTTGTGAAGTTGAGCAATTTGCCGAGTCTGGATCTTGCCTAGAAAAATGTTGGATGGTTTCAGAACTGGCTGTTGCTGGCAGGTGCTGAGCCTTCTGCCTTCTTATTACTTAAACATTGCAAAACATGTGAGTACGTGAACTCAGTAGTGTAGCATTTATAGAACTGTGCATGTTTGTTGGTCCTGATCTGTAATTCATTCCATGGCAAAAAAGCTTTTTAAGTTCTGTGATTGCCTGTACAGTATTGCAACAGTGTGTTTCACATCCTGAAGTGAACCTGAACTCTGGAAATCATTGGTTTTAATGATCATCACTTCTTACTTGCTGTGTTCCACCTAATAAGGTGGTCTGATTGTCCATGTCTTTAAACTGTTAGAGCAGTGAATGTGTTTTTCACATCTTTGACGTTCTCTCTGGATAAAACTGTCAAGTCAACAAGGAATATACTGCAATAATTCTCCAGAACTATTTACACTGAAATTTTCTGTGATTGCTCTGGCATTTGCCAGCTGCCTGGAGACTTGCACAAGACTCAGATGGGAAGTCCTAATCCTGCAGCTGGCTTTCTGGGCTTCGTGACAATGCTTTGTTCTGCTCGTGGATACTGGAGATAAGCCTCTCCTTCTCCTAGTTACACAGTAACAGGTGAAGTTAAGTATAGCCCACCAGGACTCTCCTTATCTTGCTCTGGAAGTAAGGTTTTGCTACTTCTGTAGCCTGCAACAGCTATCACCTTTCAATGCTATCACACAAAGTTGTTAGATGTGTTTACAATGATGCATAATTTGATATATATTCTATATGTATAATATATATATTATATATTGTATAATTCTATATAATTATTAGTACTTGGGAGAGACTAGTCTGCCTTCTGCAGAAGAAACCATTGGGTCCACCTGTTCTGATTGTTCTGATAGAAAGGTTGGGACAAAACATTTGATAAAAATGCCATTTTAGGATTTTTTAAAACAGCTTTTTGTAACTATTCTGAAATACAAATGCATTTTTTCTTATTTATGCTAGTTGCAGTAAGAACAGCAAATATAACTTCAGCCCTTGGAGGACTGGAGGGAAGTTTTAACCAGTGCTTTGATGCCCCAACAGGGCATCATTGTACTAAGTTTAGGCCTGCTGTTGTATGCTGATAAGTTATGAAATTACTAAAACTTGTGCCATGAAGAACAAGTCTGGCATTTTGTTCTAAACACAGCTTAGTTTCAGAGCATTATAGACTGTTGATGATGCAATGAAACCCTCAAGCACAAACACTTCAGAAGGAGTAAATATGGCAAAAGATACTGCAAGCTGCCAGATTTTCTTGCTAAATATTGTGTATGTTTCATTGAGATTGTTCACACTATGAGAGGACATTTTTTTCTGTCCTACTCAAAGCACCATTGAAAAGACTCCAACAAACGTCATAATTGTTATTGTACATACGGCCTTCCACAAAATACAGTGAAGAAAAAGAATCAGTGCTCGTGATTTGCAGCCTTCTAAACCAATATAAGTCGTGTATTTTCCCCTCTTGCAGTCTAGCAATCATTAACTACTCATTTTCTCAGTACTGTGTACAGTCCTACTGACCTTCAGGTTAACACGCAGACACAGCAGTAAATGAAACACTGTATTGGCTTTTTCTGTGGTGCCAGGCAGCCCAAATAGTATGTTTGATAGTGGAAGGAAATTATTTTCTAGCTTCTGAGAAAGTGCTGCAGATAGACACTGTTTCTATGAGGACAGTGTATAATGGGAGAGAGCAAAAACAAAGTACAGGTCAAAGCATATTAAAGCTCTCATTTTTATGTATTAGCCTCTGATCCAAGGTGTATTTGTGAATATCACAGACTCTGAGGGCCTTGCAAGAAAAATGGTGCAGTGTTTAAGCCACTATCTTGGGAACAGGACTGTAGTCACTTCCCTGTTCCACCATGCTTCTGTCTGATAGCAGGCAAGTAATGTACCCTTTTAGCTTCAGTTCCATATGTAAAATGGCAATCACAGTACTCCCCTTACTTGCAAGGCATGATGAAGGTAAATGCTGGGGGGTATGTGTGTGTGTTTATGCTCTAGAAAACATTTGGTTGGTTGAGGAGTTTTCTTCATGTCTAGGAAACGTAGGCCTGGATTTGTGTGAGAATCTTATTTTGGTTCCAAGAATTTAAAATGTTTTGAAGAATCTTTAAAAGGAAACAACTTCTGAAATTGCCCAGGGCTTTACATTGCTGAAATATAGGCTGTGAATATGGGAATTTTATTTTTTGGGGGAGTCAAACAGAAAACTCACCTGCTTTTCACAATACTGATGTTTTTCAGATGATCTCCAAGTTGGAGTATAAGCTTCTACATGCAAATTGAAATGCAACCCACTATGCATGTTATTACAGTTGCACAAAACCACAGAAAGTTGGTCAGCTTCTGCTACTGGCCCAGGTGCCTCAGCAATTTTTTGACATTCAGCAATTTTCAGTGTGTTGACTTGCTACTTCCCTTGTGTTCTGTAACAGTGGATCCCCTCTTCTGACCTTTGGATGCCTGAACAATAGCTAAAAGTCTTCTAAGACTGCTGCAGGTACTGAGCAGGGGGAGCTGGGTTGCAGTTAAAAGAGGTGAAGAAGATCTGAAGATACTCCAGGGAAGAGAGTATTGCTACTGTAGCCCTGGAGGAATACCGTGGAGGTCAGGTGATAGTTATGAAGAGGAGACAGGGCATACTGGCGACTTCAATGGGCAGAAGCATGAGGGACATAAATCCATTGGAATACAGCCGTCAGAGGCTCTGCTGCTCACAGAGCAATTTGCAATACCTCTTTCCCTCTTCTCTATTTCCTCCTCAGCAGATCAGAGGTGAACATTTCTGAAGAAAGTTCCTAGCCAAGATGAGGTTATCATGAGCAGAGAAATTCATCTAAGTAGTTTCATCTAAGGAGAAATTATCTAACTCTCCTTCACTCTAGCCTACCTTGGGAGATCAGAAATGACAATAACTTGAGTTGGAAGGGACCTTATGCTGAAAAGCGTCTTTCAGGTGACAGGGAAAGGTGCCTCTTTTGCTATCAACTTATTCCTGTAATTCTGTACAGTGAATCTCAGCAATACCAATCAGGGTAGAGGAGGAAGGTACTCCCATTGCCTCAGCAGAAATTCCTGTAGGAGGAGTCCTCTTCAGCCACCCATTCACTCCCAGAACTGGATGGCTCAGGCACATTTGAGGAATATATTTATTTTTCCACCCTGGATGAAGAGGAAGCCACTGTGGATGTTAACCAGAAGCATTTTCTCCCTGGTCTATTACCTGTGACTTCTGGGGTGCCAGTGATTGTGGCAGGCCAGCTCTAGCCTTATTTCCTCCCATCTACAGATACAAGGAAGGTTCATACAAGAACTCTTGTGCCATTACTGGCTGAACAGCACCTTTAAGAGTCCTCTGAAGCCAGGAAAGCAGGTAATCCTAGTAATAGAATCTTCACTGTCTGCTTGTAGCTTCTTCTGAAATAAGCTCCATTCCCTTGTCCTTCTTACAGTCATCCTGTGAGTGGGTAACACAGGCATGCTGGATGTCACATATATCAAAGAATTTCCCATAGTTTAGTCCAAAATGTCTTCTGACATTTTCAAGACTGTGTTGTGGGTGAATAGCCTTCTTTGTGTATGAAACAGCTTATGAAATTACATCTCCTGCATACAAGCGGTATGGTAATAGTTATGTCTGCCTTGCTGATGTTACCTGGATGGGAATGGAAATTGTACCCTCTGTTCTATTGTGTTAGTTAATGTGTCGACTCCTGTTACTTTTAAACTTCTCAGAAACATGGCAGGGGAGAGTCCTTAAAACTATCTGCATATTCTGTGTATTCTTTATAGTCAGCTTCATATGAATATTTCTGAGTTGAATGCCAACTGTTATGTTACAAGTCTTCCTTATAATTCTAATGGATTTACCTTCTTGTATCATCTTGTAATATACCACAGTGATACTCTTGAAGTAATGAAGGAAGGGCCACATCCACTTAAATTTGCAGAGGCTGGGCATCTGGGGAATTACTATATTTAGTACAATGTTGCTCCATATATTTGCTGTTGTAGGAAGTGACAGGGAGTTTTCAAAGAGGAACTACATGCAGGAGAGGACCCAAGACATTCCTTGGGCAGGAATACCCTTGCCCTAAAGAAAGTGAAAGCTTAATGCCTGAAGTCTGCTCTGAATGTTAGAGATCTCGTCAGTGTGTTTCCACTGTGTTTGTATTTTGTGGATCACAAGGGTCACAAAGAATCTTTGCCAGGAAAATATTAACTCTAATTGCATCCGCAATCCCAGATGTGAGGCAGAAGCAGTCTTTCCATTGTTCCTTCACAAATATACTATCTCAAAAGCAGTGGTATCACAAAATCACAGGCTCTAGACTGGAAATTACTGTTTTAGGTCATCTGGTCAATTTCGCTTCTGAAAGTGGAGTTAATTCCAGAATCTGATCAAGCTGCTAAGGATTTTTGTTTTAGGATTATGTGCTGTCTTGTAGCTAGTCCCTCAGGCTAGGGTAAGTCAGTACAGGACATCATCACCTCTGGGAGCACTGCAAAATGATTTGTGCATTTTGGTGCAAAGCTTGTCAGACTGTACCAGGGACTATGGTGTTGATTGTCTCCAGACTTAACAGCTCTGCTCTGGAGAAAAACTATCCTCGCAATGATTAAAGAGTTCACATTTGTCCCTTTGCTGTGTGTAAGATGGCATAATCAATGAATGCTAGATAAGCTTCTGTGCAATCTTAAGGGGACAAATGCAGAGATCTGCATGCCACTGACTGGATCTATCTATGTGGGTGGAAGGCTCCATTCAGCCTACAGTAGTTTTAGGGAAGTAGAGGGTCATGGTGAAGTCTGAGTCTTTACCTGAGTAGGGACCTGTCCAAGGAACACTCTCATTATGTGTTCATAGTGCAAAGAAAAGCTAAAGAACTGTATTTGCTTTTCCCACCATAGATGAGGGAGTGGTAACCAGCAGTTACTGCCTGGTGAGAGTATGGATAGAACAGGCTTTTGAAAAGATGCCAGGAGAGGTGAGGAGCTATTTCTGAGCAAACTGGCCAGCCATGCTCCCTTTTGAAGCCTCACTGGCAAGAGGCTTTTGGCAGCTGGAAGGTAGGCACGCAGTGGGGCACAAGTGATAATCACACCTCTCTTCACCCAGCAAAGCAAGAGCCACAGTCATGTTTGTGCAAACTCCTTTTACTCACCAGCAAAAGAATGGGGGCTTCTTACCCCAGTCCAGGACAAGAAGAGAACCATCCCCCCAGAACACCTCAAACAGTCTAAACCATCTACCGATCTTCAGCCTAGGCAGTATTCCTGTTCCTCTAAAGGAGGGCTACTACCGCTTGGAAGTGCTCTACGCAAGCTCTTTCCAAACACTCCTCTTCCATTTCCCTCAGGCTGGAAGTCATTTTAGATTTGCCAGCTGGGACTTGGCCCTTGGGCCGATTCCAGCACCTGACCCTAGTTCTTTTGTCAGAGTGAGCTGGCTGATCCCGTGGGACATTACAGTGTGCCCTGACGCAGGTGGTGCTTGAAAAGGCACTGCTGGACTCTGCAAGGAGGTAGAAAGTGACAGCTTCAAAACTGAGTGGTGGCAAAGCAGGGATTTCCAGCTCCTTCTGATGTTTGTTTCCTGGTGAGTGAGTGGCATGTTTAACAATATTCTTACTGCATGTGGTGGTAGCAAGAAGTGATATACTAGTTGCTTTGCCTATTTCTGTTGTTTTGAATTTTAGAGTATCTGTGACTAAAGATATAGTTACTCCTGTATCCCAGAAGACTCCCCAGAACAGAGACTAATAACTGGATAATCGCCCACTCCTAAGTGTCTGAATGTAGAATGAAACTTCTGTTTAGTATTTTCTGTGCTGCTTATTTTCCAGTGAAAGCAAATTGCCTTTTGATATAGAATACGTGGTTTGGTCTCCGGGGAGCCCTGTCTTTGTATTCTTCTTATGCATTATTATTTAAAACTGAAGATCTCAACCAGTAGCCTGAGTGATCGCAGCTGAAGGACGCAGACTGTTTCCTGGAAAAAGGTTAAGGGGAAGAAAAACTGCATTTAGTTCTGTTATGTAACCAAGAAAATAAATTCTTTTGGAGAGGAATAGTGCTAGATATTCCTCCTCAAATGCATTGTAAATAACTAACTTAGTTAATTATAGAATTATTCACAGCAGGGAACAGGGATGTTGGATTCACCTTGTTTTACAAAGAAAGAAAAATGGTCCTCAATCTGTCAAGTGCCAACAACTGGAGATTGTTTTTGAATACTGATAATGGAGCAGAGACTGAGGATATGAAGGATTGTCTCATGTACGTTGATGCAACAGTAAAACAGAGACTAATGGTTTATCTGCAGTCATGGTCATAGCTTTTATGTAAAGTCTGGTTTATATTCAGAGCTCTCGCCAAACATTTGCTTTTGCCAGTTTCTGGATTATTTATCAGCTTGGATTGACAAAATAAGTTTTGGGCCTGTGATGTAAGTCAGATGCCCAAATTTGGCCTTGTATAGGGAAGAATGAATTTTCCCAGCCTGACAAGCCAGAACTTGGCCTGTCGGAGGTGTCTGCCATGAGGGACTAAAGGATTAATGAAGTCTGACTCCTGCCTGTGGAAGCCACTTTTGAGAGCGATCCTACTCAGTGGTTAGTAAAACAGTGCTGGCATCCTTTCAGTGTCTGTCTTCAGCAGGATCGCCTCTTTCACAACTACCTGTTATGGCTCCGTTTCCAGCAGCTTCCACCCAACCAGCTGGTCTCAGTGGGTGCCCCCCAGCACAACATGTTAGAAGCATTTGCTCTGGGGGTGGCTGCTTGAGTGGCTAAACACCACGCATCCCCACAGGAGGGAGGAACCCTGAGCTGTTGTGAGGGGTGTTTCTCCAGGTGTCTCTTCACATGTGGACTGTTGTGCACGAGTTCACAAGCCCAGCACAGTTGGCACCTGTATTCTCGGTGTAAATGCTGTCTCCCCTCCATTACTCAGTGTTTTATAGGCTGGAGAACTGAAATACTCCTAAATTGTTCTACTGATCCCATGCAGCTGATGAATTACTGAGGAAGCCTGTGCTTAACTACGGGACTCCCAGCACACCTGCCCTTGAGGAATCCAGCTTACACTGCAAGCTGTTCTGGGCACAGCCCAGCTTTGACATCTCTGTTCTGTCCTGTGTGACACCTTAGCTGTCAGCTGTTTGCTTCCCTGATGCCTAGTGGAGTACACCAGGTGCTGGTGTGCCTGCAGGGAATCTCCCAGCAGGCTTGTGATGCAGGGAGGACCTGGGGAGGTGGTCCTTGGGGTCTTTCCTTGCAGACACTTCAGGACACTGATAGTGTTTCTTCTATCCCAGTTGCTGGGTAGCTGAGGTACTAGCTGTCACATGCTTCATCTGAAAAATCTCTTGGCTGGTTTTGTGACCTCTCTAGGGGTGTCAGCTAGAATTGCTGGATCCCAGTTTACCCTGCAGTTATGAGGCTTTACAAGCATTTGCTCCAAGACACTACTGTCCATTATTTTTCCATTATAGAGTCTTTGACTCTAGTGATTTCATGAACATTTAAATGTACTCTTAAGACAAATAACTCTGTCCAAAATACACTCCTGGGAAGAGGCTAAGCAAACCTTCTGTGATGATCTTCAGAGTAGTGATGTGCTTTATATGCTTTATACACATCACTTGGTATACCAGGAGGTCTAGACCTAGTGACAATGATTTCTTTCCTTGCCTGCTATTTAAACGTAGTTACAGTTGCTTCTCAGATTTATTGCCTGAGATGAAATAACCTCAGTGGTGATGCTGTTGTTTCTCCTCTGCAGTCTTTTCCCTGCAGTGGCTGGATTATTCTCACAGAGTTTGCTGGGTAACTAGAGTCGTAGCTCCGTAAGACAGATGGTCACACTTCTTTGTCACCTGTGCTTCCTGAAGACAGTGTTGGGCTCTCCTTGTTGAGAGTGATGTTTCATCAATTTCTGTTGTGGTGTGACAGCAACTCCTCTGAACTTTCATGTGTGGGCCTTGGCAGACCTGTCCAGTCTCTGCTTAGACTTTTCAAGACCCAGCAGTCCTTTGAGCAGGAAACTTGTGTGTCCTGTGGGAAATGCAGCTACTTACATACTGAGTATATGCCTACACAAACTGTCATAGGCTTGTTGGGGGTGAATGGTGAATCAGCTTGCAGGTATATTGGATTACTTGGTGGGCAGCTTGCTGCCAGGCTTTTTGTAGCCTTTCTGTTGGCTGCACCTTGTGTCTAGGCACATCTGATCAGACCTGCAGCCAGAATGGGAGGTCGTGGAGCAGATGGATGTTACAGTACGAGTGCAGGTGCTACCCTCAAAGAACATGGATGACGGTGAGGCATGTGCTCAAAGTGAGAAATGCAACAGGTCATCCTACCTGGGGTAGGGTAAAATGTCTCTTCAAGTCAATCCAAACTTCACATTTTCACTCTAGACTCAGCCTGCTCCCTTAAGGAACAGACCCACTTTGGAAGGATGGATTCACTGCATGCAATGATGAAAAATATAAGCTCAACAGGCCTATAGGGAATCTGACTTTCTATTTAGTAAACAAATGCTTATTAAAAAAAGTCCCTAAGAAGCTATGGTAAGCTTATGATGACCTTACTGAGCTGCAGTACATATGGCTGCTTTGTGGCAAGGGTTCTGCAGGCTGCTGTTTTATAGTATTAATGACCTTAGCCCACTTCAGAACAAAAGAAGTCATATTTATTTAATTTTTCATGGTTAACAAGACAGTGTTGCTGAACAGGCTGTCCTAGTTTTGTCTTTGAAAATAATGTGTTTTTCTCTTTGATTGTAAAGAACTCATAACCCTGTTCCTGCCATGCTAAACAATCAGCCTCAGGCCTCAGTTCGGCAAAGCACTTATGTGCTTACTGAAATGCAACTGTCAATGGCACTTACACATCTGTTTAAAGTTAGAAATGAAAACTCGAGACTTCGACTGAATCAGGGCTTCGGTGGTAATGCTTTTAATTGTAGTGTAGTCCAATCTTTCCATTGACCAGTAGATGGGGAAAGTGAGCCTCCTTATAGTTACGGTCAAGATTTTTCTGAATGCAAGGTTAAACTGTGGCCCTCGTTGGCTCTTAGCTCAACAGTCTGGTCTGAAGGCGCTTTACCTTTGTACTGTAAGGGTAAATCATGTACTTTGACGCAGTTGGACTATTTTCTTTACAAATATGTGTCGTAAACAATTGTTCTATTCCTTGAAATTCTGAGATTTAAAATTATGTTCCTTTCTTTACACAGGAATGGAAACATATCTTTTGAAGGTTTTGCTGTGCGAAGATGTGGGAATGAGTGTTCCCTCCCCAAAACTAGCCAATAGTTAGGTGTTTACAACACTCACAGGGATGCAAATGATCCAAGTTTTAGTCTCTGGTAGTTTTCCATGTGCCTGTAGAGGGTACCAATAACAAGACCACCTTACCTGCCTTTGGGTCATCTTCTCCAGTTCTCTCCTCCAAAAGCTTTTGTCAGTTTTATATATTTATCAATCCACCAGACTTGTACAGACCACATGAGTGATCATAGTTGCTGGCCACAGTTGCTTTCTGCCCACATTTCTGGCTTCCTGTTCACACTTCATGTGACATACTTATTCAAAGAGAAGCTGACTCTCAAAGTAAGTCAGTCCCTGCATACTGCCTGTTATAAAGAGTAAAAGCTTTTTATTGAACACATAGGAACGTAGCTTCCCTTTAGGCACAATCACACCTCTGCATGTTGTTCTACATATTCCCTGACTGTGCTCTGCTTTGTCCTCATTCCTTGGAACTCGGCTTGGTAGTGTGAGCCCTGGAGCTGTTTGTGTTCTTGCAGGCAATATGGTGCAGGTACAAGAACTATTTGCTGCCTTACACTGGGGCAAACAACACCAGTGAAGATGGCCTTATGTAAGGTAGGAGCCCCTGCAGCTGCAGAGCCTGGTGACAGCAGGGACCTTCTGCTTGTCCTATAGATGAAATACCTTTCTTTGGCTTAGTTGGGTCTATCTTGCTCTTGTGGAAGCAGCTTCCACTGTTCAGCCTTAAAGAAAAGGTAATGAGGTATCTATCCTAATTATATTAGCATGGAGCAAGCTTCCTGAGATAGCTGGGTGTAAGGGTGAAGAAAACTGTATCTATATTAAATTGGATAGGTGAGGCAAATACTTGTTAATATAAAATAAAACAGCTTGGCTAAAGATTATTAAAACAAAGCAACAACAAAACAACCCAACAAACCCCACTAATCCTCCTCAGACTTTCAAAAGATGGAAATGTGATCCTACCTTCTGAGATACATAAGGAGAGCCTCAGCTTCTGGGCTTTAATTAGTTTAGCACAGGGGTTTATGTGCCACCATCTGTCATTATCTGTTTGTGATATCCAAAACTTCACTGGGTGGGAGGAAGCATGGAGGAATTCCTGCCTGGATTACCATGACTTTGTGCTTTTGCTTGAAGCCATTATCTGGTTAAAACCAAGATGGGTAATACTGATTACAGAGGGGAATAAGGTTTAAGCTGGTGTAAACTGAGAGCAAGTCCTTCGCAGACAGCAAAAGTAACCAGACTCTACAAATGTCTAAACTGGTTAGATTCTGGCTCACTTTCTCCTAAAG